TATATATATATATATATATATATTACTTTTTTGTTCTTCAATTTCTTCAATTTATAATTTCTGTTTATTTTATACTAATGTTAAATTGTTGTGTAAATGTAGAGACTATTTAATATTTTATTTCTTCTTTCTGAAGGCTATCTAAGGACCATTATGAATGTCAAAAAACTAGATGCTCTTAGCAGAGTAAGGGTTTACACTGCTTTCTAAATAGCAATTTTCCCTTAGACTTCAATGGATGAGTTTCTCTTCAATGAGCAGAGTAAAAGAGAATCCAGCCCATAGTGTATAAACTTTCCTTCATTTTTACAAATTAACTGCTGACTCAGCTATGAAGAAAACGATGCATTATTTATGTTCTTGTACATGCTAGCTTTGGTATTTAGTGCACCTTCTAAAGTCTAGATGCACCATTATGCGTGACTATGCCTTCCATGGTCTAAGAGCTTAAATGCAGCACTGATCTGTGTAAGTCACAGGGGTTGGCAATCTTAGGCACTCCAGATGTTGTGGACTACATCTCCCCTGATGCTTTGCCAGAATTATGTAAGAGCATTATCGGAGAAGTTGTCCACAACATCTGGAGTGAGAAGGTTGCCTACCCCTGGTGTAGGACCAGGAATAAAACACATTTTGATAAGTTAATTCAGGTTGCACTGAGTGGACAACTCTCGATATGGACAAAGTGTGCACAAAGGTCAGATTTATGTAAAGTAAATTAATTTTTTACTCTCGGGAAACAAATGTAAACTATGTAACTTAAAGTCTGATTTAAACAAGAAGAAATGTAAATCAAGATGGATTCAGGAATTTAGTTCGTTGTAGTCTTAAATTATGATACATAAAATTGTTCCTGGTTGGCAGGAAATAGACCTCTGTAGCAAATTTGATTATGTGGGGCAATTTTGGGCACCAGTTCCCTAAAAGAGTATCATGGAATTTCTAGAATACAGAGCCAACATTATTAAAGGGGTTAGAAGGTTTTAGGTAAAAGAAATGCTAAAACTAAATCATCTTTTACATCAGGAAAAAATTTATAAAGATGAAATTAAAATTTGTGGTATGGAGGTTGATAACAATTATAAGGAGGACCATTACTTCTACTCTTGGTTAACATGACTGTTGAAAGACAAACTCATTATATGAGAACACTGCATGGGTAAAATGCTAAATATAATCACTGTCAGTATTACTTGTTATCTTATTAATTTAATGCATATACAGTTATAATTTCTTCTAAGTAACCAGTTTTCGTTTATTTTCTCTTGTCTGTTCTGAATGTTGACACACTGACTACATTTGCACCCAACTAGCCATTATGGTACAACATTGAGTCAGGGAATCTGTACTAGAACTGTATGGAGCTGTTTAATATTTTTCCAAGGCCAGAAAAGTTGTAATTGTTTACATTTGAAAATGGAATCTTAGATGCAACATGATAACTTAATACAAATTAATGAATATCAATGCCTTCTCTCTGATGACCTAATAATAGATGTATATGTAGCGGAGCTCCCTGTACACTGTCTGGGTACCTCCGCCAAGAATCACTTCCTTGCTGGAACCGGGGAAAACCCTCAGCGCTTCTGTTCCAGTTGCCGTGGCTTGACTAGGGTCCTCCTGGAGCCCCTCCATCCTGGAACAGGATAGGGGACTAGCTCTATTCTCTCCCAGGAATTGGATGACACACAGGACAGGGTAACTTCCGAACGGGGTCTCAGACCTGGACCATAGTCGGTACGCAGGAGGCTAGCTTCCATGGAGGGAGGGCCCAATATTGTAATAGAGTAAGTGAAACGTAAGGAAGGAAGGTTGCACAGAGGGATCAATAAATACAGTAACTGGAGGTGTATTGAAAGATGTAGTGCTAACCAATACTGGCATCAACATTTTGGGGTTTTACAGTTTGTTAGCAGTTTGACCACTGCCTGGAGGGACAGATCAATGTTTTAGAGAAGGTGAAGTGGAGGGGTGGAGGGCTGTATGTAGGTAGGATGATGGAGAGAAGGAAGCATGCAGGGAGGACTGCGCGAAGGGAGGGATCAATGTCACAGCAAGTGAAGTGGAATGTGGGAGTACTGCATGTAGGTAGGGCTAGGGGAAGGATTGCTGCATGAAGAGAGTCGTTGGTATAATAGAGCAAGTGAGGGGAAGGTGAGAGGGCTGCAGGCAAGGAGGAATCAACAGAGTAAGCAAAGGGGAAGGAGGAAGGGCTGCACAGAGGAAGGAATCAGTTTTGAAACAGAGGACTAAGATTATGCAGTCTGAAACAGAGTTTCTGGTTGCCTTGGTCACGTTTACCAAGGATTTAACTAGACACAAAATGATAGATTTCTCTGTTTAGACTGTGTGGCAAATTGCAATGTTGCATATATAGATTGCTTGCACCATGTTCTAGCAGTCTGAAGTTCAATGAAAATATGGCATGGCAGAGGCAGAGTTATGCTTCCACCTCATTACTTACCAATTCATACCAGGGATTTGAGCAGTGATTGGCTGAGAGTGCTCAGCTGATGCTCTCATCCACTTACTTCTTATTTACTTCAGGTATAGAGAGAAGAGGAGCATAGCTTCACCTCTGCCATGCTAGTGTTATTGGAGGTCAGGCTTCAGGCTGTTGAAAACTGAGAAACACTATTGTGAGTAGATAAGTAGTGATGTGGGACCTGCCTCCCAAAGACTCCAGGCACCATAACCACAGCAATTTGTTGAGGTTGTTGTGATGACTACAGTGTTCCTTTAAGTTATTCTGGGAGGGCACCTAGTTACCTAGCAAATCTCCGAGCAACTAAACTCAAGTTTAAAGCGGCACTGTTACCATCTGGGGACTTCGTCAAATTCGCAAAGGCCCTTAATGGCGACTTTGCCACTTGGGGTCCAGTAGCTGGAGAGCCATCTATTACCAGCGGGTGAAGTGTTAGCAGCAAACGTCACTGCAGTATTCTTGCGCGTGTGCAAAAGTACAGCATTGAGGTCTATGTAGAATTTTGCAAGACTGTGGATTCTCCATAGACAGAGCCAATTCCCTGCAGTTGTCACTGGTGACAGCAGTTGGGATTGACACTTAGACTCCGCCCATTGTCTAAGAAAGTCGAGCAGATTATATGTACAGAGACAAAGTGGTCCCTACTTTGTTTCTGTATATCTTTTGACTGGGTTGGAATTTCAGTGAAATTCCAATGTCATAATGTCATAATGAGTATATCATAAAGATTCAATCTTTATAACATACTTATATTTTAGGGGGTGGTAACAGTGCCACTTTAAACCTCCAGTGGATAAAAGTAATGTACAATGCTGGTCCAACTGACAAAAGGACTACAAATACTTCCAAGTACACCAAATCTCAATGCAACACAATAAGTCAGAAAACAATAAAAAAAAAAAACTGAAAATATAAATTAGCATTCCCTACAAAGAATCCTATAATGTTAGACCAATGGAAAGGTGTAATTCATTACTACAAAGTGCAAAGGGTGCATTTAATAGATCATTAAATCAATTTTAGGTGAAATTGCAGGTTTCAATGGTTTGTTGCTCCAGTGAGAATTCTGAATGATAATATTTTTCAGTCTAAATAATGATTTCATACTTTATAGAATACAAACGTGCTTAGTTTTTATGGTAGAACTTCCATCTCTAAATGGAGGAGCTGACTGGCAGCTGGTGGTCCACACATAAGGTGTTAAATCAATAGCAAAATGTATGATCAACATCAACAGTCGGGTTCTATGGTGGACTTAACTGGATGGACGTGTGTGGGTTTGTTTTCAGGTTATCTTATTGCATGGCATTGTTTGTTAACACAAGTGACTTATTTAGGTATACATATAGCATACATAAACTTTCTATTTAAAAAAGATAATTAGCAGTAATGTTGCATGATAAATTAGTCTGTGTCTTTTGCTATAAGTAATGCAGGCCCCTTGCATCACCTAGGATTGCTATGCAAATACTTACAAAAACAGCATTTTCATGTCATTAATATATGCAAGCTATTAGAATTGTTCATTTCAGAATGAAATATTTCCCTACACGAGTGTGCAATAAGAACACTTTCTTCAACAACATAGTACTGATTTATTTATTAAGTTGATCCTATCTTGGGTGGAGGGTATTTATATCTAACAAGACTTGTTTACTTGAATATAATCAGGGACTAGTGGAAGAATAGGCTATATGACGAGATAGCATATCATTCGAGGGTAGGTTGGGTGAAAAACGTGAGAGATTAAAAGGGTTTAGATTGGATGGAGATGTGAAACACAAGACTGTGAAGTTTAAATTAAACGTAATTTAAAAAAAAATTAAATCTAATTTATTAATGTTGATATATACCAAGTTAGCTTGGCGTTTCTTTTTCCAGGGTCAATTAAAGTTAAGTTGGGTAATAATAATCAAGAATACTTAAAAATCATCAAATATAAATATTCCTTTTCTGGAAAAATAGATTATTATTATTATGTTTAGTATTTATTTTGCAGCATAACACAGGCTCAATTAGAAAAAACAGAACACAATGCATGCAATAGGCCTGCTCTAACAATTAGTTTTTTAAAGGAATAGATTTTATTTTCTAACCAAGTTCACTGCATAGGTTTCACTCCCTTACAAAAACACCCTAAAATCCTATACACCATAAACACGGTACAATCATCTCATTTGAAAAAAGAAAAAAAATCAATCATTTTAATTCTTCTGCAGTAATTAATTCTCATAAAATTTTGTTAAAAGTATCATCGCACCAATTGCAACATATATTCTTATTATCACAACTGCTAATTTATTTTTAGAATATGCCAAAATATTTTATATAGGCATAACATTAAATATATATAAGAAAAATAATGTGTATTATCACCCTCAAAAACAACGGCTTTAGGTAAAAAAAATAGGGGGGAAACTGCCAGCTTCATTTATTTGTACCTAACCAGCAATGTCATATAATAGGCATGTTGTTTCAGCCAACCAGGCTAGTGCAGCTGTGAGTACTGTATCTTGGCACTCTGAAGCTATTGGCTCCTCTCTGGGGAGCGGAGGGTGTTCAGTTATTAATGATAGCTGAGCAGGCAGTACCATGTCAGTGTGACAACTGATCGGGTGAATGATGCAGCCCTAACCACCAGGACCACCACAGAAAGGAGGGGAAAAACAGGCTACACAAGCAACGTCTCTGTATTGGATTGTCAGCATCAGCCAGAGAGAGACAAAGCACTGGCACACATAAAGGATCTTAGCAGGCAAGCAGCCCCATTCATGCTGTTGGATATATGCATAAATAGAACAAAAAAAGGACTATACGTGTATCTTTTCACATCCTGGTGTTTCGTACATTGTAACCAGAACTAAGGAATGTACAATATTCTATAGAAGACACTAGGAAGGCAAGCTTAGTAGGTAAGTTGAATTCGAAATTCTAACAGTCTACTCTATTGCATGCTTTCCTGTTGTCTTTTTTTGCATATTATTTTCTTGTTTGCACACTTTAACTGCTTTGCATTTAGCAAAAAACACCAACGTTCTAAAGAACTGTGTGTGCTATATCATAGCCCAGCTTCAAAAGAACTCGAAAAAGAGGACAGAAAAAAAATATATCTGTGTTTCTATGTCATAACAAATTAAAAATATATATATATGACATCTAATCTGTAAGCAATGAAGCGACGTATTAAATAGGAAGGCTTTTGAAAATGTCAGTGTATTCAGCGGTATAAAAAGGCAGAGATCAGGGACCTTGAATGAGCATATCACACACAGTTATTGGATTTCTGCCAGGCTACATCTTAGGAATTGTGCTTAATGACTTCCCTTAAAACATATCCTCTTGCCCATCTGAAAAGACAGTGTGAATGCCTGTTTGCTAATGCAGTTGGAACTGACGCATGCTAGATAGAAGTAGGGGAAAAAAATGGATTTACATTAACTAAAGAAGCTCTAATCTCCTTAAGCAATTAGCAGCCTCACTGTTACATAGAACTAGGAGGATATGTTTAATGATATCATCCAGTACCTTGAAAATAAACTGTTACTATAATTCTATACCTATATGTCAAGGCGTCCCGTTAAAAAAGAGGCTGAATTACCAAACGTTATGATTAGAACTGTGTTATTGAGCCTCTTTGTGTTATTTATTTAAACACGCGCACACACACACACATATATATATATATATAATATAATAGAACATAATATATATATATATATATATATATATATACATATATATAACAATGTATCTGAATAGGTATGCATTCGTATGTATTTGTTAGTGGAGATAGAATTAGAAAGAATCACAGATCTCGTCCAAATGTTTGGTAATTCAGTCTCTTTTTTTTTTTTATGGGACATGTTGAGATTCCCTCCAGCAGTTAAGGGTTAAAAAAAGACAACACAAGACCCTTAAAGTCAAATGCACCCTTGGGAAATGCAGCATGCTTGGAGGTAGGATTACTTGAATTGCACATTGAGCTTTCCTTTAAGGCAAACACTGACATGAAACCATGTCTACAATAATTGATAAATATTTAAGAGCTGAAAACTTATCTAGAAGTGGGAAATGAAACAATGTATATGGATATATCTTTGTTTTTTTTTGTTTTGTTTTAATTTGGAGTTAAATACCCATGAGGATGACAACTGACTAGCACTATATGACTTCTAGCACAAACCACAAGTCCAAAATGTGGTTTCCTGTGCTGTTTTGTGCCATATGATATTACATTAGCCCATTCCATTCCTTTTATCTCCTTCCCGAATTTGGAGTGACCCTACATATGCTCATGTGTCTATAGCTGTCCATTAGAAGTTATTATTACTCATAGCTTAACCTTGCTAAGTAAAAAGAGAATAAAAGAGAATTCTCACCCACGCATAGTAATTTTACTCCAAATCCATCAGTGTGTGATGGCATACAGTGTGTATGGACTGAACAATGCACCTGATGTTTGCAGTTAATAATATGCCAAAGCATGAAATTTGCAGCTAATCCTATAATGCTGTAGCAGTCTGTAGTACATTGCTTCTGCCTAAGCTCAGGCTCTTCAGCTGTGTAATAATTAACCCTTTCAACGACAGTGGAACACTACCCCCGCCGGCACGTTCTTTTGTTTGACCCTATTAGTAATGTATGACAAAAGAAGGAAAATCTTATCCCATTTGGTACTCAAGGGATTTAATTATTAAGTAAATCAAAAGAAAACATTTTCATATACCACATGGATAGAAGACATACAGAAAATTAACCTAGAGGTCTAATATTACACCATTAACAGTTGCCAAGAAACTGATTATTTTTTTCAGTGCTGACATAGATAAAATATTCCTTGTTTTTTTAATACAATTATACAAATATCGAATTCCCCCTTAATGTATTAATAATATGTGTACTGCTCCCTTATACCGCCCACATTTTTAATGGAGCTCCCTACATTATTATTGTTATTATTTTATTATTTATATAGTGCCAGCATATTCTGTAGCGTTGTACAATGGGTGGAATATAGGTGCTTTTTAAAATAATGAATGAAATTCTTCCACAAATAACAAATCAAATCTCAAAACATTGTTTTACAAGTGATTGTTAAGCCTAAAAGCCCAAAATGTGTATGCCTTACAATTACCAGGATGCTTGGCCAGCTTAGCTGAGAATGATGGGTTATATAGTTTGAACACATGTAGCTTTCTAAAGGTTAGCATCACTAAGATACACAAACTGAGTAAGCTGTTTACACATTCACACAGGTAAACAATATTTTCTCTCGATTGTGTCTCTCTACTTTGGAATGAGGCAACTAAGGAAGTGATATATGTTAGTTTATTGATTGAGTTGGGATTGGATGACACAATTTAATCAGAATCTGGACGTATGCCACAGAGAGGATGGAATACTAAATAAGAATTATGTTGCATAGCTATTTCCAGTTTCTTGCAAAGGCAGAAAGCACCTGGGGAAGGGGCGTCTCATGATTTTGGCACTATATCAATAGCGTTGAGCTTCTGTGATACATATAGCACCTGTATATATCATATTGCCAATATGGGCTAGAAATGATGTATGGGAAATATAAACACAATTTGAAGTGGTTTATACAGTAACCAAGAACAATCACTGCAGGCCTGCCCTGAATTAGCAAGACTCCCGTGACACTGAATTAAAGCGTTTTGATTTATGACTGCAGGCAGAAGTGAGCAATCATTCATTTTATGTGTGACGTCGCAAAAATAAATATATAAATAAAGTAGCTTTAAAATAAAAATAGAGGTGATCAATTCTTCTCTAGCAATAGTGTTGTGAAATGGAATTGGCAGTGTTTCTGCTAAAGCAAAGAGACAGAGGATTTGAATGTTTGTTCAGACATTTTAGTGCTAAATTGTAGTAATGTGAGTAAATACAATTTGTCAGCATCTGGAAGTGTTAACAATTTTCACAAATTAAATGCTATAGCTCAGTGCATCATAAAGAACATTTTAAGTGTGCTTTAGCATTATCTATTTGAACATTATATTAAGATATTTTCTCTCTACCACCAGTTTTGAAAACATTTAAAAAGGAAATAATGCATCAATTAGATGTACTATGTTGTAAAAATGTTATTATGCTCAAAATGTGATTCACTCTATTTCCAAACCATTTGTTTTATCCATCAACTTAAGATTTGTGAAGAATTGACAAGTGCATTGTGAATTTTAAGTCACTATAGATAAATTGGAGAAAATAATAAATTTCAGTTATTTTCCAGCTTGGCTCGATTGACTTAACATTTGAATTTCCATATAAAAAGAAATCCATAGTCACCAAACAACTTTAGCTTCAATAAACAGTTGTGCTGTATAGATCACGCCCCTGTAGTCTTACTGCCCAATTGTCTGCCATTTAAGAGTTAAATCATTGTGCTTATGCAGCCCTAGTCACACCTACCTGCATGTGATTTACACAGCCTTCCTTAACACTTCCTGTAAAAAGTCATCTAATGTTTACACTTCCTTTATTGCAAATTCTGTTTATTTTAGAATTTTTTATCTCCTGCTCTATCAATAGCTTGCTAGACCTAATAGGAGTCTTCTGTAGGTGGTTAATGCTCAGTTTAAAAATAAAAAAAATTAAAACTTTCAAGGTAAGTTACATCTGATTGAAAATGAAACATTTCTGGTTTCATGCAGGCTGTGCAAGCAACAGCCAGGAGAGGTGTGGCTAGGGCTGCATAAACAGAAACAAAAACAATTCAACTCCTATATGGCGGTGGATTTAGCAGTGAAACTTCAGAGGCATGATCTATACACCAAAACTATTTCATTAAGCTAAAGTTGTTGTTTAGGTGATTATAGTGCCCATTTAAGTTCCTGCTTTAGTGAATACATTGTTTAGCACTTGTTTTTTTAAATATATCGACCATGCATAAAAGACGAGAATTACTTCATTGTTAATACAATTTTATCTCTACTGATAAGCATATACATCAAGTAACACTTTAAGCACCACAACCACTAAAGTATGATGTAGTTGTTATGGTGCCTATAGTGCTCTGGTGCTCTCACAATATAAGTAGTGACACTGTTTACTAATGATTTAACAACTTACCTGATATCCACCATGCTCAGCCATTTTCTCCATTGAGAGCTGCTTGTTCCAGCTGGGCTTGCTCAGAGCGTAGAACTTCCATCTCCAAATGGAGGAGCTGACTGGCAGCTGGTGGTCCACACATAAGGTGTTAAATCAATAGCAAACTGTTTTATTGGTGCCTGGGAACTCAATGAACTATTAATAACATAAAAAGGGAAATCACACAAAATATATACAAATTTCACCCTCTTAGATCTCTGTGGGATCATGGTAACTGAAAAAGTTACCATGATCCCAAAAAGTTACCATGACCGCTATAGAGCACTGTACTGTTTATGGTACTTATAGTGTCCCTTTTAAATCTTTTTTGTATTTGTATTTTTGTATTTGTATTGCCATTTGCCTGTAAACTATAGGAAGAGAGGTAAAAATGACAAGTACCGCTGACTTAGCAGATACATATGCCCCCACCTACCACAGACCGCTAACAATAGTGTTCACGTGTTCCTTATTGTGCGACTGCAGTTGTGAGCAGATGTGCTTGGGTAGATTCACATGTATCCACTCACATCCAGTGTGGCGGCTATGTTGAAAAACATCTCAAGAGAATATCTTTTAAGATGTATTTTTTCTGAAGAATTCAGCAGCCCAGTAATATAGATAATATGTTTACAAACCTGACTTATTATTTATACTCTTTAAGAATAAGAAGTCCATTACAAGCCACTTGTAGCAGCTGCATACCATATAAAGCATTTTCTTTTGAATGAACGAGTATTTTCTTACACAATACTATTTCATGCATTTGAAGGATATTGTCATCTATATGATATATTTATTTTCAGTGAAGTTAGAAACTGGTTAGAAGGATGTATTTAAAGGGCATTCTAATCTCCATAACTACTACAACTCTTTATAGTGGATATGGTAAAAACAGTCTGTGGGTGTCATCCAAAGCTCCCAAATGTTTTGGCAAAACACGGGGCTCTCCCAGCACCCACATACTGCACCCTCCTCAGCTCCATGGACAATGGAGAATTCATACTGCATACATGCATTATCCATGGCAATACAGTCCCATTGCCCTGAAATGCACAGAACATTGGCTATTGTGTTATGAGTCTATGGACACCTTACTCCACTTTATTTCCTTACCAATTTGGAGTGGTTTGATAAAAAAGGACCCACCCAGCACCCACTCTATCTGATATAATAATATCTGTTAGAATCTATCCAAACTTGGGTGGCTAAATTTAGATGTATATTTTTGCATTATGTATGTGGATGCTGACATTTTTTTTGTGGAACAGTACTCAGATAATTTAACAGAAAACTGAAGTTAAGCTAGATGGGAAAAAAAAATAATTATTCCCAATAGAAAATGGGGCATGGGAGAAAGAACTGAAACTGCCTATCTTCTGCACTAAATATAGTGATCAGTTCAATTCAGTGGTAAATATTGGATGTAAACACCTCCCCATTCTTAAGATAGTCTTCTACAGAGAGTTATGTAGGTCGGAGTTTAGAAGTAGTGCTAGGGGACTTGCAGCTTAAATGATCGTGGCCTAGCTGCACAGATATGTACAAATGTGGAGCCAATAGATGTAGTTGTTGCCAATATGTGGACAGGTATAATAAAATCACTTTTACTTCCTCGATTACTGGGAGAAAGTTTGAAATTACATAATTTACTAAATAATCTAAACCCTTTTTTTTTTTTTTAGATTACAGGTGGTCTTCGTTTTCCGATCTACCTGTTTTACGACTGATCTCACTGACAACCAGCTCTCTAGCATGGGGATTTGAGGGATGCCCTATGTTAGAGAGCTGGTCTGTGTTCAGTGAATTTTCCCTGTACATAGATTTCAGAGTTTCCCTGCGCTAGTGAGCTAAACTATGTTCCGAGAAGCTTCCCCCAAACGTAGACCTGCTCTCTTGCGCATGCTCGCTAGCTCACTTACCGATCAATTCTTTTTATGACAGAGTGGTAAGAACAGAACCCAGTTGGTTAGTGAGGACTGCCAGTTATTAGAATACCTATGTCCTAAGAAGTATCTACACATTTTATAAACTCTCATAGTTGAACTAGGACATAATTGGAGACATGGATACTGGGTGGATTAAGCAGTCCTTTGACTTAAATGAACATTATAGTGCCAGGAATTCAAACATATTCCTGATACCTTAGTTGTAAAAGTCATGTTTAGGGGCCTGTTTCCTGTGTTAGTGGAGTAACGGCTGAACTCTCCCTAGCTCCGCCTCCTTGGCTGAGATAATTAAATATGATTATCTGAGCCAGTCCAATCCTTTCCCACAGGAAAGCATTGAAAGGCTATTGCCAGGCTATTGCATTGGCCAATCAGCATCTTCTCATAGAGATTCATTTAATTAATGCATTTCTGCAAAGAATGTTCAGTGCCTCCATGCAGAGCATGGAGACGTTGAATGCCAGTGTTGTACATGGCGTCGGACTGATACAGGAACGCTGTCTGAATGACTGACATTAAAGGTGTTACTAGGCAGTAATGTAAACACTTTTTATTTTATTTGAAAAAAGTGTACAGGGATATACTATACACCAGTGTTCCTTAACCCTCTCCTCAAGGCACACCTAACAGTCCAGGATTTAGGGATTACTGGGTGTGACTTTTACAACTAAGGTATCAGTTGAGGAACATTGATATACACACCAGAGCAACTACATTAAGCTGCAGTTGTTCTGCTGACTATAGTGTCCCTTTAAGGTAAATGCAACTATGTTTTGTGACATGTAACTTTATTATTTTCAATGATTCATTGTAACGTTTATTTGGTCACTTTAGGATTAGACTCATACAATTTTGCAGTGCACTCTTTTAGGTTTAACACTTTAAGATCTTGTAGTTGGGCGCTACTGGGTTTATTTTGCCCCGTTTTTCAACTAGTGTTGTCTGACAACATATGAGTTAATCTGAAGTTGTTGATTATTAATTTATTACCCCAGTTTTTATTTATTTTTTTGGGGGGGTTAGGCAAAACTGTAGATATTTTGAATAGCACTGTGGCATTTTATTAATTATGGTTATGTGCTTTTTGGACAGTTTTTTCTGAATTTCAGAGGGAGAGAGTTTACTGTAAGTGCGGAGGTTGACCATGCGAATTTTAAAATTTAAAATGGGATATGCTTTATCATGAATGTATCACATGGTCAAATATTCCAACTTTTAATAGCAACAGTGCAATTCTTTGCAATAATATTGGTGGTGGTGTTATTAGGTTAAATTAAAAAGGAGTATTTTAAATCTCCAGGCACTTAAGGATAATATTTACGTGCACTTAACCTGGTTATGGGAACACTTTCAATTTATTTAAAGTGGCAGTGTTCCACTTGTCTTCATTAAATGTGAATTCGTCTTTTATTCCCTCTGCTGATGGAACAGGAACAATGAAAAGGTACTATTTCTTTTCTTTTCAATTTGGCAGGGAGAAAGTATCCACCCTCACCTTGTCTTTTTAAACACAGTGGTTGTTAAGTTTTTTTATGTCCTCAGCCGGACGCGAAACATGTTCAGTGTTTTTCTAAGCTTTTATTTATTTATTTATTTTTGCCCTTCAACCTGATGCAAGGAGCTTTTATACATTTGTTATACCTTTCCTGCATTTTTTGGTCAGATCATTCCATGTAATATTATTATTATTATGATATTTATAGAGCGCCGTCAAATTCCGCAGCGCTTTACAATGGGTGGACGAACAGACATATAGTTGTAACCAGACAAGTTGGACACACAGGAACAGAGGGGTTGAGGGCCCTGCTCAATGACCTTACATGCTAGAGGGAGTGGGGTAAAGTGACACAAAAAGGTAAGGATAGTATTAGACTAATGACAGTTGCAGAAGAGGAATCAGTAAGGAGCTATTATAATATAAATATATATATATATATATATATATATATATTGTTCAATGAACAAGCACAGCAAGGAACGCTTTTTATTAAATGGTCTATTTTTCTGGTGAGTGAGGATCGTGTGGATCGTGTATTTCAATTTATGGATTTGGGGAATTAGGCCACCAGCACTTAAGACCATTGAAATCAAGTGGGCGCATGCAAAAGTAAGTCTTTTTTAATATCGACACATTATTAATAAATATTCCTAATATGCCACTTTTCCTTATTGGGGCATATTCCCTATATCCATATTCTATGTTACATACTTCTTAACACCATTAACACTACAATCACTTCTGAGCTGTAGAAAGTGCCCCTTTTGATATGAAATACTGGAGTATTCATTTGTTACAGTAATTCCAAGGACTGTGCACTTGTAAATATTACTATGCTAGATGGTCCCATATGTTCATTGATCATTGCATAAAATAGCTATTCAGCATGGCTAAAATAGGTGAAATGAATATCACAAACTACAATTTACACAATAGAATTAAACCTTGAAAATATTAAATGCGTGTCCAGATGTTCCAAAACGCTTAAAAATTTAATTATAAAATTATTTATATGTGAAAGGTAAATTTAGCTTGTTTCAGCTTCCAAGTATGTCCTTAAATAAGGCAGTATTGTTTTATCTTTTATCCATCAGTCATTTAGAATATATGTTAATGTGCCAAACAAAACAGTCAGCTTTTAAAAGAGAAACTGCGCCCCAGATTATGTCCTGTTATAAAATTACTGCGATTAACAGCCTAGCAACAGAAACAGTGAAAAAACTGCTCACTTGTTAAATCTCATTCTCTTTTTAGAAATTGAAAATCACTTCAAATTCTAATTGGTTGACATTGAATTTTTTATGTAACTCTTACAAAAAGAAAAAAATATATTTCCAATTAAAATGGATCCATTTCAGTTGTCAGGGAGCTAAAAAAAAAAACCACCATACTGGATGTCTTGCCATTTTATCAGAAGAATCTGGTCCTTTTTAAATCTTTTTACCCTTTAAGGTCAAAGGTACAGTTTTAAAGGTCAATCTCAGACCTTCATATCAGGAGTCATCATGTTTTCTTCTAAAGAGTTCCATTTAATACTGTCACTCTCTAAAGACACAGGCCAGGGTTCAGAATTGGATTCGGTTTTTTTTTTTCTTGTGCAATGATTTTGTATGTGTACAGAATGTCAAAGTAAAATAGCAAAAATCAAAGCAGCGAAATATCCAAAAACAGCAATGTGATCAAAAGCATTTAACAGCACACTTGTGAATTATTTCGATGACTTGAACACAACATGCCACTTTGCATAGCAGCCCCATTACTGATTACATTTTAAGTTCTAATACTGTTAAAGCTCAGATGTAATCAAAGTGTGATAACAGTAAAAGCAGATGCTTATCTTCATAAGTAAATTGCTCGAAATAAATAATTCAGCCATTGTGTTTTCATTAGACTGCAAGTCAAAAGAGTTTTTAGCAACAGGAAAAGGAAATAGTCACAATTTGACTATGTCTGACTAAATGTTGCCATTCAGATGTTGATTTGCTACAATTCAGATGTTAGTGAATAAACCTGAGATTACCCCAGAGACAAAAATGAAAATGTGATATAGACATATTTAAGGAGAACTGTTCCTCTCTTGAATTTACACCAACAAATAAAATATTGAAAATCATCTATAATTTGTGTTAACTTATTTTTTAATGAGGTGATCCATTTACCGTATTTTCCAGCGTATAAGATGACTTTTAAACCCAGGAAAATCTTCTCAAAAGTCGGGTGTCGTCTTATATGCCAGGTGTCGTCTTATAGTGCGGTCTATGCAGGGCCGTCACTATCCAAGCGCCGGCCCTGCTGTTTTCACCGGCCCACTTGAAGAGACATGCAGCTGGGGAGGGAGAGGAGGACCCAGCGGAGCTCTATTTTGTAGCTCCGCAGGGGTCCTCTCACGAGGTCCAGAGATGTCACCGGCTAGCGGGGCCCAGAGCGACAAACAAAAAATAAAGGAAGAAGTGGTTCTGGCATTTTAGGAAGACGACGAACCCTGAACCAGCAGACGGTGAGACCGGGTCGTTCAAACAAATAGAGGATGATGGGGTGCGGCGGCTTCACCTGCTACAAGAATGCGCTGTGTGCGCTGAACTTGGTGTATATGGTGAGTGTGACCGACAGGAGGGATCACAGCCTCCCCGGCCAGCTCTGTACAGGCTAGTAATGCAGGCCTCTCCCAGCTTCAGTACTACAAATCCCAGCATGCTCTACCAGTGGTATCTTATTGTGGGATTCTGGGAATTTGACTTGGACATAATGCCTGCTTATTTATTTTTAACCCCCCAACACACAATCTCTTTTAACATTCACCCACAGCACTCTAACACACATCACACGCAGCACCCTCACACACAACACTCTCACAGACATCATACTCGGTACTCTCACACACATCACACACATCACCCTCACACACAGCAATCTAACACACATCACACTCAGCACCCTCAAACACAGCACCCTCACACACAAATCACACACAGCACCCTCACACACATCACCCTCACAAATCACACACAGCTCCCTCACACACATCACCCTCACAAATCACACACATGACCTTCACACACATCACCCACACATAACACACAGCACCCTCACACACAGCACCCCTCACACACAGCACCCCTCAAATAAAGCATCCATCACACACACATACTGCACCCTTCACATACACACTACATCTCTCACAGACACCGACTGTTTTTTTATTTTTTTTTTATTTTTATTTGGTGTGCGTTGGAAGATGGGTAGTCTTATATAGCGAGTATATCCCAAACTCTATATTTTAACTGGAAAAGTTGGGGTTTGTCTTATACGCCCAGTAGTCTTATACACTGGAAAATATGGTATTATAGCAAATAAAGACAATGAATATTTTCTTACTCATTTTCTCTGCACCCTCTCTCTATTTTGATTGACAGGGAGCTAAGGTGGTGGTGCTCAGTTCAAGGATATAGAGAATTGGACTTCTGCATTTAATTTTATTGTGCACACCTTACAAATACATATTTGTTAATTTTAGGGATAAGTGTACACATTATTAAAAGTTCTGGGAAGTAGCCGAGCTCCTTTAATATTTAAATTTTAAATTTATTGATTTGTTTTTGTTTAGCGTAAAAATTATTCAGTATGGAAAACTGAATATGAGCATATTATGTTTTATTTTCAAATTCTCACGAATCACATGTCTGCTAGTTAGCTTGAAAGCTTATGGGATCTAAGAGAAAAGGCTGAGCGCGCCCCAGGCAGGCTTTTAGGTGTACCTAACAAGAACAAGATAAATCATTCTGACATGTCTAGATGTAAAAAAGCAGGGGGCAGATCTGGTTAAGAAACTGAATTAAAAAGGATGTGTTGTTGAGGGTTGGTTGTTATGTAATAAATAAAAAATATAATCTATTAATTAATTTAGTCCAGTAATGACTTAGTATCAGCCTGAGTAGGCACGGAAAACATATGGAGTGGCAAGTTTACTGATAACTGTTTAAATCATTGTCTGCATGGTGGATATTATGTTGAGAGATTTTAAAAGTGATAAAAGTATTCAAGTTCAATATTTAAACTAATACATAGTAATAAGGGATACAGAATGGATATACTAGTCATAGTTTTTGTTCAAAAGGGGGAATTATCAGGGAATTCCATTTTTATTTTCAGTGTCTCAAAGCTTGTTTTTAGGCTTCATATAAGATTTGCAGGCAAAACAAAAAAATCAAGGGCCGTACCAAATAATCTCACTATTTATGTTGAAATAGATCCATACATCTGTAATATAAAATCAGTTTGATCTTTTTGTGCAGTAGTTAAGGAAGGCTGAAAGAAACTATAGCTCTGTTGGAAAAGAGCAAAGAAAAATATAGTATAATATTGCTGTACGAAAATAAATATTTGGTATTCTGTTCGATATCCTAGATACCAGTCCTTTTTATTTATATAGTGTCTAGGTCTAAAGATATATAAAGGAATAAATCAGCAAGTTGAAACCGTTCATGGAAGCAACATATTATTTTTCTTGCTTACCATCGCTTATGAATCTTAAGTACTCTTATGGCAAGTGATAAATAATGCGCCGATTCATTCTTTGTAATTAATTCACATATACATTTTTGCATAAACAGGTATCTAAGAGATCTGCCTGTTTAACATTGCTTTACAAGAGCTGTCAGTACCGGTATTGTCCTGAAAATGGCACAATAAACTAGTCGGACTGCCCTCAAGGGCCTTGCTTTTGTAAGTTTGCCAGTCTGTATGTAAAAAAGAACGATGGCAAAAAGAGTGTGACATTTTTTATAAAAGCAATGATACTTGAATGTGCATATAACATCATTTGATTCAGCGACTTTAAATGTAAAAATAAAATTTCTGAACAAATATGGCTTTTTGTAAAAGGGAAAGCAATTGCACTTAAATTTGATTTATTTGCTGTAGAGATTTTGGCTACATTGGATTTATTTATCAAAGCTTTATACATGTGCTTTGCAAGGTTTTTTTTGCTAAAGTGTGAACTGTTTTAGGTCAAATGTCTGGCCAAAATAGACAAGTGAGCAATGTTTTTAGTTCAGCTTGTTAGCGTAATACTTGAAATTCACTAAATTCACATTTTAAAAAAAACATGTGGCTGTAAAACATTTTGAGACATTTGGTTTTCAAAAATGATATGATTATTTTAGATGAATTGGTTCAAAACCATGTAGGTGAAAGAAACTGCATAACTAATGAATTCTTTATCCCACATTTTTCCTTCTAACACTGCCAGAGCCAAACAGCTTCAACCAATTGTATTTACGTAAAAGTAAATTATAACTCTGCACACTATTTTTATATACAAATTATAGGAGCCATTCAACACCCACACACAGGTCAATCATTGTAAAATGAAAGATGTTGACAAACTAAATGTTCAGATCTAAAGACAAAGAGAACGTTACCTGTGCTCTGGCCTAAATCCCTATGTACATTTAAACAAAATGGAGGCTCCTTAGTTTTATTCCAATGGCCATTTGAATATATAAGCTCACCTGCCACATCAAGGCAAACCTCAATAGGTGAGTTCCTACTCTAGCCATTAGATTTGCTGATATCAGCCAAGAATCTCCAATAAGACAGGAAGGGGTATTTTATAAACCCTTTCACATTTAACCCTTTCTAGGGCTTCTACACATACAATAAACTTTGCTGGTATCAGACAACGTGTAAACATCTCTAATGAGACAGGAAGGGGTATTTTATGAACCCCTACATACTTAACCCTGAATAGGGCTATAACACATACAAATCACCTTGCTGGTATCAGCCAGAAGGCAAATTTCTCTGATGAGACAGGAAGGGGTGCTGCCCCTACATACTTATAAACTCTTAATAAGACAAACATGGGGAGGCTTGCAGCAATGTAACATAGCTGTGTGATACAAATATCATATACAAACACAAAGATAAAGCACCGCGCTTATAGCAGCAGTAGCTTAGTATCCAACAGCTCAAAATACATAGTAAAAACAAATAGAACGTTACCTGGCCAAAATCCCCATGTACATTTAAACAAAATGGAGGCTCTTCAGTTGTTCAGATTTACTCACTGTAACGGACCGTTTTGCACACAAGGGGTAAAAAATGTTTAGGCGATCGTCCCCCTTTCCAGAGAACACCAAACTCCCGAACCGCCAATAAGGGAATGCTCCAAACTCCCGAACGGCATACAATATAGCACTCCAAACCCACGAACTGGAACCATACGAATCGCTGCTAGCAGACGAATAGGAAAAGCATCCAAGCGGCTTACACTCCTAGCAATCAGTCTCTATCAGCATTCAGTAAATCCCCCAAAGACGAGACAAGGCTCCGTGTTGAGGGTCAAGCAGTGGTCTGTTTAATGAGGGCTACCTGCCCAGTATTTATGCAGGTCTCCCACCTGGTGGACACTCCCCTAGGGGACCAAATGGGAGACTGTGACAAAAGACAGACAAGTAGACAAATAGGACACACAGTCACATTATATTCCAACAATGCATCCTGGCTTCCTCCCCTCTGCCTTGGAGATAATTGAGAAGTAATTCAATTATCTCCCAAGACAAAGGCAAATCGTCATTATGCACGTGGAGATGCTAAAACATGAATTACTATTAAAATACACAGTAGACACAAGATCCCCAGATAGCTCAGGTCTGAGCGCACATTATTAAGCGAATGGCGCTCAGACCACACGAATACAGTGTAATCGCCATGGAGCCAAAGTCTTTACACAGTCAGTTCTCATGCGAATGGGCTCCATGGGATTCCTATCTGGGGCATAACATAGTCAAGTAAAACTACCGAACACCGGGCCGTTCGTGCACTTTCACCGAACAAGAAGGGAGGTCGAGGGCTTCAGCGGTGTTCGCGCAAAACTGTGTCCGTTTCAGGGAGGCTAATTGCCGGCACACTCCATCTCTCAGGTGGTCTAGTCATTCGTGCGGTTGTTCGGTAGATTGAATCTATCGAACACCAGGCAGAAAATCACGAATAAGTCTTTTCTGCAGGGAAAAAGATGTCTTTTAACATGGGCCATAGTCCAAAGGCAGCAGGTGAGCAACCAGGCTTCTCCAATGCAATGTGGCGAGATTGCTCTCGTCACACTCACACAATATGTTTTTTTTATTTTATAATATCATTTACTAACATTGATGTTTTTAGAGTTTGTGATTCATTTTGAGACAAAATAGATTGCTTCATATCTAAAAACATAGCTATTGCTTATCTTGAATCAGTTCAAAATATTGGGTACATAATGTATCTGAATCTGGACCAAAGTAAGGAAAACTCTATGAATATAATTAGATGTTGTGCTCATAAGCTGTCTAATTAATATTATGAACAATTCCTAAAGTTCTCATTAGTGAAGCCGTTTGGTATAGAAAGTGGTATGTAACACATAAAGGAACTCATACACAGCACTGTTATGCCAACTGTAACAGATTGCAATCACGTTGCAGCAGATTCTACATTGAGTTCTTTTATGCGGATATTTTATGCTGATTTCCAATTGTTTATTTTGCGATTTCTCACAACAACCTATTTCAACAGATTAGTATTTGTAGACATATCTCAAATTCCCAAACCATCTATGTAATTGCTTATCGATACTGCACAGCATGCCCTAAGCTGTCCTTCTGTCTCGTCTTTCATACCCTTACATCATTTCAAGTCATAACATCATGTGCAATATGCAGATAATGTCTAAATAATCACTGACGTCCCTAAATGGCCCACTTATAAAATTAGGAAGCATTCAAAGCTTTCCTTACATTTACTAACTGGACCAGCTTCTTCCTCATCAAAATAATTTGTCCCCAAATAAGGAATGTCAAAAATCATCCTCAACGTGAGAAATAAAAAAAATATACCTATTTATCCATTATGATTGCATACATTAACGGGAAGCAAAGTTGGAAGGTAGGAAGGTAGGACCATCATCTGATGCATTATTTGCCATGCAGCACATTTTTCAAATGCTATGCTTTCACATTTTCTGTAATTCTGTAAAAAAAAAAAATATATATATGTATATATATATATATATATATATATATATATACACATTAAGCTCAAAGCTAGTTGTCATTTCTGATTCCTTGCTCTTATTTCTTCAATCAATTTCATCAGTCATCTTCCCTTTTAGTACCAAACATAAGTTTTCCTCAAAAAAATTATCTAATTCATTATTTTTGCGAGATCTGAATACAGTAATTTCTACCTCCATGGACAGTTTCTCCATTATCCTGTAGAATCATCATCTTATCTCAGAATGTGTGGATCCTTCCTAAAATACTTCAGTGACTTCAGATCAACATGTTTTACTTTATCTTCAAATTGCTTTAATATCTCATATGCACATACTCTACACTCTTGATTTTTTTTATTGAAATTTCTTTACACAAATCATGCTATATGCCTACCTTCATCTTCTGCTTCCTTACCTCTACCCACTCGTTTACTTTATTTCTCCTTAAAGGTCACTGTAGGGTCAGGAACACAAACATGTATTAGTGATCCTATAGTGCTAAACTGACCATATAGGTGGCTTGTTCCCCCTTAGCCACCCAATAAAGTATAAAACTCACCTTATCAGGACCTCCTCATAGAGATGCATTGAGTCAATGCATCTCTATGAGGAAAATTCAGCGTCTCCATGCAGATTGTGGGGACGCTGAATGACAGGGCAGTTTACTGTGCAGCCCTGAGCCAGGAAGCCCCTCCACTGGCCATCTGAGGAGTGGCCACTTGGAGGTTTCCCTAGGGGCAATGTAAACAGCCCCTTTTCTCTGAAAAGGCAGTGTTTCCATGAAAATGCCTGAAAGGAGCTTTTATACTCACCAGAACAACTACATTAAGCTGCAGTTGTTCTGGTGACTATAGTGTCCCTTTAATGGCACCGATCATTGTTTCTCTTAGCCTCCAAACTCCTGAAACAAGCTTCCTCATCCCATTTACTAAGGTACTTCCCTCTTTCCTTATTTCAGACTCCTGAAAGCCCACTATTCACAAACGCCTTATTGGATCATCTATACATTTATAACTTTTTGTCTCCTGAGTGCGGTCAGTTTTTTTTTTGTGCATAATACAGATTAGGAAACAGCCCACACATAAAAGTACATTTTTACATTTTATAAGGCTACTTAAAATCACCTATTTTAGCAAACAAATATGGGGATTCTGTTCCACCATATGGCCATGTTGGCCATGTTGTGTTAAGCCCACTTACATTACCCCAATATTGGTGGGTCCTAAAAGTTTATTTTAGTACAGCTGATCTGACCGTGTTAGTTTATCTTATTTTCACTCTTTCTTCCAGTTCATGCACAGTTCTGAAACCTACTGTAATGCAGTCTGATTCAAGATCAGAGACAACATGGGTTTACTTCAGGGAGATCATGCCAAACTGATCTTATTGATTTGTTTTGATTTGGTAACTAAAATAATAGATCAGGGTGGTGCAGTAGACATTGCTTACCTAGATTTCAGTAAGCTTTTTGACACTGTTGCACATAGAAAACTCATCAATAAACTGCAATCTTTAAGTTTGGATTTCAGTATTGTTGAATGGGTTAGGCAGTGGCTGATTGACAGGCAACATAGGGTTGCAGTTAATGGAGTATATTTGAAGAATGGTCTCGTCACCAGTGAGGTACCTCAGGTATCTGTACTTGGACCCATTATCTTTAATATTTTTATTAGTGATATTGCAGAAGGTCTTGATGGTAAGGTATGTATTTTTGCTGAGGATACTAAGATATGTAACAGGGTTGATGTTCCAGGAGGGATAAGCCAAATGGCAAATGATTTAGGTAAACTGGAAAAATTGTCAGAGTTGTGGCAGCTGACATTTAATGTGGATAAGTGCAAGATAATGCATTGTGTATGTAAAAACCCAAGGGCAGAGTACAGAATATTTGATAGAGTCCTAACGTCAACATCTTAGGAAAGGGATTTAGGGGTGATTATTTCTGATGACAAGGCGGGTAGACAATGTAAAGGAGTAGCAGAAAAATGCTAGCAGAATGCTTGGTTGTATAGGGAGAGGTATTAGCAGTAGAAAGAGGGAAATGCTCATGCCATTGTACAGAACACTGGTGAGACCTCACTTGGAGTATTGTACACAGTACTGGAGACCGTATCTTCAGAAGGATATTGATACCTTAGAGAGAGTTCAGAGAAAGGCTACTAAACTGGTTCATGGATTGCGGGATAAAACTTACCAGGAAAGGTTAAAGGATCTTAACATGTATAAGTTGGAGGAAAGACAAGACAGGAGGGATATGATAGAAACATTTAAATACATAAAGGGAATCAACACAGTAAAAGAGGAGACTATATTTAAAAGAAGAAAAACTACCAAAACAAGAGGACATAGTCTTACATTAGAGGGGCAAAGGTTTACAAATAATATCAGAAAGTATTACTTTACTGAGAGGGTAGCCTTCCAGCTAAAGTGGTAGAGGTTAACACAGTGAAGGAGTTTAAGCATGCGTGGGATAGGCATAAGGCTATCCTAACTATAAGATAAGGCCAGGGACTAATGAAAGTATTTAGAAAATTGGGCAGACTAGATGGGCCGAATGGTTCTTATCTGCCGTCACGTTCTATGTTTCTATGTTTCCATTCAATGTAATTTTTTTTGTTCTCATTGATGACTGTAAAATCATTATATTGCACTGTGAATACATATAGGTAATGTAGACATGTTTTTGCCTATGTTTGGCGAGGTATGTAGATAGAAAACATGCTGCTTATTATTTGACTCATTAAACAACTTCAGTAAAGTAACTTCTTTTGACGATTTTACACATTGCATTTTTTCACATAATGGGCTATTTGGACTAATGATGCAACTCAGCTGAAAATCAACAAAACTTTCATTTAAATTAAACGCAAACTCTAAAATGTTGTGCTAGGACTCGTTCACCATTCCTGCTGCCTCTACATGTCTTATTATTATTATTATTATTATTGCCATTTATATAGCGCCAACAGATTCCGTAGCGCTTTACAATATTATGAGAGGGGGGATTTAACTATAAATAGGACAATTACAAGACAGCTTACAGGAACGATAGGTTGAAGAGGACCCTGCTCAAAAGAGCTTACAGCCTATTATTCTTTACTATATATTAGATAAGTGGGGTGATAGCAATAACTTTACTTTCTAAGTCAGTATATTAATAATGCACCTTTTCAAGTCTACTTTCATGTCTCTTTGTCAGATATACCATACAAACAAAAATTATTCATCTCTGCAAATTACATTATTAAGATGGACATCAGTTAAATTGTATTCACAGAAAAAAATGAAAAAATGAAAATATTTTTGATCTAGCATTGCTGTCCTAATGAAGTGTATAAACCATTTTTCCTCTAGCCTCTGAGTGTCACATTTTTGTTGATGTTAGTGCTAGCAAGCTGTGTTGAATGGGCTTACCTATTTTCTCTACATATAGCACAACGAGACATTTTGCGCACATAATGACGTGTACTACAGCAAACCTCAGTAAGGTTAGTATACACAAACATACATAAACTGTACATTGAAGGCTACATGCTGCTGTCATTTCAAGCACACCAATGGTTAAATGATATGACTGAAAACAGCATTGACACAAAGAAATCCTAGAATGCTTCAAATTAAATAGGTAAATGCAAAGAGGAACAATGAGCTGAGTGGGTTTAAAATAACAATGGGGGAGGCAGCTGCAGTACTTTGTGTGCAAAGCTTATCATTGTGCTGTGATTCATAGACAGGCATGGAACACATAGTATGTTTCAACTCTTTCTTAATCTTAATGATAAAAATGACTCACAGCTTTTAAAAATACTATGAATGTACATCTTTTCTAAAGGCCCATTTGCATCACATCCTGTACTGCAGACTACAGCAGTTGTGAGCCGAGCGTCTTAGGCACCTTCTCATGTGAATAGGGCTATTTTAGCTCTACCTCTGTGCACACATCCTTTTTATGCCTTCTCATTTTGCATGTCCAATGACTGGAAGGTACATCACAGGGTCAGAGTACATTAATGGAAGGGAAGGTGGAGGATGTGACAGAATATGCAGAGGGATTGGAAAACGAGTTGTTGAGTAAATTAAAAGATGTACAGAGGGGTTAATGATTGGGAGGTGAAGTGGGGGTGTCTGACAGGATTTGTAGTGGTTAATGTATTGGTGATGAGTTGGATAACATGTTACAATGAATGTGGGGGTTAATTAAGAGAGGTGAGTTGGGTTGTAAATGATAATATTTGTGCGGTTTATGATTTAGACATAATGTTGGAGGGGAATTAAGGAATATATGGCAGTGTTTGTAGAGTAAATGAATGAAGGTGTAGTGTAGGTTTTAATATTTAGGATAGTGTTATGCAGGGTTTATTGTTTATAGATTGAGTCATATTGTGAAGAGTGGGCTTTAGAATAATCATGGTATGTTGTGTAGTGCAGAGGTTAGTATTTAATTATAAAATAGTGTAGAGGTTAGTTATTATTGTAGTGAAGTTTAAGGATTATTGTTTAGTGATATTGTAGTATAGGGCTTAATGTGTATTATAGTGTAGTGCAGTAGCTCATGTTAGTGATAGTGTAGGGAATAATGTTTTGTTAAAGCATTGTTTAAGGGGCAAAGGGATTGTAACTCGGACCCCACTCAATCTGGAGAAATGTACATCACAGCACTGCATAGAAATTAGGGGTCCATATGCATTTCAGGGTCAGTCAAACCATGTATAACAGCAAATAAAACACTGATGACATCATTTGAACACATGATAATTTGCTCATTGAAATAAAAGATGCCCTTTTGAAGAAACATAGGTTTTTATTCACTAGAAACATTAAGCAATAATAATAATTGAAGTAATATTAAAACTGAACGGCAACATTAGCTTACATTTTCCAATATGATTTTTTAATGTGCTAGAATTCAAGTTCTAGCAAAAATAAACCCTGTCTTGATGTTTTATAAAAGCCACTACTATTTCACATGAAACCAATATCATTTAAGGCCAATTGCCCGAATGAACACCTTGATCACATTCACAAAAAGAAGCCATTAGCGATATCACTATTGTCTTGTCTTAAGCAAACTCCTCGAGCATCACTATTGAAGTCAAGTTGGACTCATGTCTCCCTGGTGCTAGGTCTTTCAGGAGGAACTGAGTACATTTTTAAGAAGAGTATGACAATTTGAATATTACTTGTAATTCAGTCATCAGAAATAGGAGCATAGCTTTCTATTTGATTAAGCTGTACTGTTTAGTGGAATTTTGTTGAAATGAAGACCCTAGAAAATATCAAAAGCTAAAATGATTTAAAAAAAACTAAATGAATTGTAGTGAATGTAAAAAAACACTCCAAGCACAATAGCATAAGCTTTAGTTTAGGAAAAAAACTCACTGTATTTTACTAAAGCAGGAAGCTTATTTATGCTGTCAATGCATGGATACTACAAAATTGGCCTGGCAACATATACTCACCAAAACAGATCCAAGGAGGACCCAGGTAGGTTTATTATTTTAAATCTTTCGCAGGAAGACAAATTACATTTTTAAATATCCTGCCAAATATGATTCTCTCCTTTCTGCTAATGAAAAGGTTAAGCTGCATTTGATATGCCTTAAAGCTGAAGATATCGCTTGATTATAAAATCTCAAGAGCCTTAGCAATCTGTACAGATTATATTTACAAATACTAGCTATCCTGTAAATGACTGAACATTCTGTGATTAAGAAGAAAAGAAAAAGAAGACAAATATAGTGCAATAGCAACTTACATACAGTGTATTCAAGATAAATTGTGAACAAGTAAATGCCTAAATCAGTTTTGTTTGGGACATTCCAGTTCATGGAGTCTATGCAAGTCATTATATATCAGTAAGTCCTTAGTTTGCCAGTAGTAAATAATATGAAAGAATGAAAGATAAAAGCTCTACAGTATTGGATTTATGATGTTAGGTTAGCTGAACAGACATTTTATGGAAAGCAATTTGAATAACCTTGGTCTAGTTGAAGAGTCAAGGTTATTTCATTAAATTGAAAATACAGGTTTTTACACCAAGGTTGCTGTATAAATTCCAAACCTATTTCTTATTCTGTAAAAAAAAAAAAAAAAAACATCAAATGCTAAAGTATCTCTGTTTAAACAGCTGCTAGCTTGGCTACAGTAACGATGTTATGTTAAATCATGCATATGGATCTTGCTTTAATTGTTTTACCTGGTATTAATGCCAGTTTTCCAAAAAGCAGTTGTAAGAGAGTGTTCGTGTAAGCTATTATATAAAAGAAAGCAACATTAACCCATAAGCCAGCATACAAGAATGCATCTCGGATACGGATATGTTTTCTATTTTGTCGTTTTTTGGGTGACTGCTTGTCAATGCAGCTGTATCTATTAAAATGACAATGTGTGTCTGCTCCCTATTCTTAAGTGCCTTGCTCCCCCTTTATCTTCTTATGTAATGGACTTTAACCAGCTGTACAACAAGGCACCAGGAAATTAGCAGTTAATTTTTGGCTATTGCCTTTTGAAATCAGCAAGGTGCACAAAGTGATTGTTATTCCTCCAGTAACATCATTTTAGTGTGAAAGATGCATGCCAGGAGCGGGATTTAATCCATCCTACAGCAGTGCAGCTTAAAGAGTCCCCTTTTAAACACATACATAACAAACATCACAAAATGATGTCACATGCATGACACACATTACACATATCTGCCGTCACATTCTATGTTTCTATTGGTAGAGGTTAACACAGTAAAGGAGTTTAAGCATGCATGGGATAGGCATAAGGCTATCCTAACTATAAGATAAGGCTAGGGACTAATGAAAGTATTTAGAAAATTGGGCAGACTAGATGGGCCGAATGGTTCTTATCTGCTGTCACATTCTATGTTTCTATGTTTCTATATCAAGTAGACATGCATCACAAGCACATTACATCTAAAAAAAATTATACATATTACATTGAATAATCAGATAAACATCATTATACATGTATTAAATAATCCTGCTCACACATGCATGTATACACACATCTACATATCTGCACACATTTACAAAGGCCCCGATGAGATCTATTGTAGTAACTTGGCCGGGCTTCAGGCAAAGAAGAATTCTAAATACATTGCACCTTAGTTACTGTTTCTTAGGAAAGCATTAGAAATTGACAAACCTGTGTAGCAGTCTTTTTACAATGGCAGCCACAAGTCACATATAAAATGCCACATGAAAAACGTTTTCAAGATGAAGCATAAGACATTTCTTAGGATGAAAATATAAAACGCTGACTATGATCAGGCTAAGTGGAAAGATAGTTTAAAGTAGAAAACAAGTTGTTTGGTGTTTCTGCAAGATTATAAATTAGTCCCTGCCATCTTGCTAATTTTGTGTCATATCTGTGAAATTAAAACCTAGGAAAGTTGCAGTTTATTGGATCTTAAAATAACTGTTTTTGCAAATGCAGTCAATTATGTTTGGAACAGAAGGCTTAGTGTTGCTGAAGTTTTTTGTTTATTATGTTTTGTGTATATAAGGGGAAATTGTAGCTCATATTGAAAATAATGTAATAATGTAGTTTGCTTCTGCTAATTTATCATCACCATTCAGGGCTCTTCTTTAAGTAATCAATTAAATACCTGAAATAAGAGACTTGGCTGGGGTGATGGATTAGATCGCTATCCCTCATTTTAATCTATTAGAAAGGCTTGTTTCTGGTTGGTTCAAAAACACGACTTAATGGGAGGTCAATGTGATTGGCTGAAATATTCTAGCCAATCATACTGCATGATTGGTAGTCTGCTGATTGTCAGCTCATCCACTCACAAAAGCCTTCAGAGCAAAACATCAGAATATCATCATTAAGATTATTTTCTTTTTGCACTTCAATTTTTGTGTTTGTCAAAGTGTGCACTGGGATTTAAGGTTTCTTTTATCTTTTTCATTTATTAGATGCTTATTGGACAGGAAGTGATTTCATACAGACTATTATGGATTTGGAAAGCATTAAGCAAAGTTATTTTACAAAGAGAACATGGTTACAAAGGACATTATGCGACAATAACATATAATTATGTTACTGGCACTTTCCAGTAGACAGGGATTCCCTCTGGAACTGAATTTAGATATGGCACTGTTGGTGCTAAGTGAATGAATCATCTTTTCTGGTTCTTGACTTAGTGGGTTAATGATACTAGCACAGTGATTTACAATGTGGGCAGGGAAATGGGAAAATTGTGCTCTTGTTTCACCACAAAGGATATTTAGAAATATTAGCACAAATGGGAAGAATCAGCAGACTCCTCTTTTCCATATTCTCAACATGGCATATAGGAAAGGGGTTAAGTTATTGTTTACCCTGGTTAATAACTGGCTGCATTGCCACATATTTGGTCAGCTACTACCTTCCCATTTGTTTTGATTTTTTTGATAGTTGGGTGGACACCCAGCAGACCTTTTAATTCTACAAATATTTGAGTTGGAACATCTGGAGTATGTTATCTAAAAGCCTCATTAAGCCCTTTCACTGCCAGAAGGGTGCCACTCAGATTGCTCTGCAATATACTTGTCATATCTCTGGCACTCAATGGGGTTAAACAGTTGTTTGGCTTTAGGAACGTATAAGACAGTGTGTACTGATTATCTGACCTTCGACCTATGTAACCAATACAGGGAATTTGAGTAAGCTGCAATAAGATACTTTGCAACTGAAGAACTGAATTATAGAGACAAGTCCACATTTGGTGTATTCTACAAACCTACACATTTACATTTTAGGTTTGCTTAATGTATCCCATTAGTAAAATGTGCATTTGAAACTTTGTAACACTGTAGAATATATTGTAACAATGTAGAATACATTTTAAGTGGCATAATATTGGTTTGCATTTTAATTACTCCTTATTTAGCATTTTACCCCAGAATAGTACCGTTGTAGCCTTAAAGGAACACTCCAGGCACCCAGACCACTTCTGCCCGCTACCCTTAACCCTGCAAGTATAAATATTGCAGTTTTTATAAACTGCAATAATTACCTTGCAGGGTTAACTCCTCCTCTAGACAGCCACTAGAGGGCACTTCCTCCACTTCCTGCTTCATAGCACAGTGCTAGAGCGTCGCTCAGTTCCCCATAGGAAAGCATTGAAACGCATTTTCAATGCTATCCTATGGAGAGCTCTAATGCGAATGCGTGCCATTGCCGCTCATGCGCATTAGGTCTCCTCAGCCGGCGGGCGGGATAAGTCTTCCCCGCCGGCTGACGTGATGAAGGGGAGGAGCGGCGGGGGTCTCAGGTAAGTCACTGAAGGGGTTTTCACCCCTTCAGCAACCGTGGATGGGAGGTGGGAGGGAGAGGGGACCTGCAGTGCCAGGAAAATGTGGTTTATGTCTAAATGGGAAACAGTTCTATTAAGCACATATATATCATGCTCACCTTGTGCAAAGATCATTAAAACATAGCAAGATTCATCCCAGTTAAATTGTTGTATCACTTACGGTACAGCTAGGTTGACTCTTCACCCAGGTTACCGTTAAACAAACAAACATGGTGGGTTCACTCGTTTCCACCATGTACCATAACCACTGCAATAAGCTGCATCAGTTGTGGTGCTTGGAGTGCCATTTAATCATGATTTCAAATGTTAGTGCATATCGTGCATAGATAATAATTAATATGGTGAAGCAGAATTAAATGCCAAAAATTCCTTCCAAGATAAAAGTGGCAAAAACATTTTTGCAGAAAGATATTTCACAGATGTGTTGAAATGTACCCTCTTGGCTGTTTCTAAGCTATAACTAATGTTATTCTCTTTCAGGTATAGCCTAATAGAGAATTTAAAATTTAACAAAATACGGCGAGGGCCGTAATGTATAGGGTCATGTATAATAAAGGAACATTGCGATAAGAAGAAAAACATGTTTGCAATTCTAACAGAGGTATGTTTGCAATTATGAATACAATTCTGGTGTATGCACAGTGTAGGCATATTCAATTTGTCTACCATAGTCTTAATATGTCACAAATATATGCTTTGCTTGGATTATGAAATTTATTTTTAAGTTGGCTATAAATTCCAATGTACATTTCTTTGGGGGGGGGGGGGATCAATAATTCTAGATTGGAAGGGAGATATTTAATTTGTTGACAAATTCTTTTAATTTAAAAAAATAATGATTAGAAAACCGAAATACGTAACTAGACTATAAATAACAATTTTGCATAAATATTGTTGCTTAATATATCATATTATCACTCTGCTCCAACATGCTTTAGAAATTCTGACTTTGCATCCTACTCTACTGAAAAGATTGCTATAAGGTATGAAATCTCAACTTCCCCCGACTACTAAGCTCAACTTTATTGCACCATAGCTTTCCTCATACCTGTAGCTCTTTTACAGCAACTACCAAGGAGGAGATTTCTACAGTTCTCCTGTCTTGCTCCTCTATAATATTCTGTTTCGTTGATCTTTGTCCTATTTTGATCCTCCTCAAAATAATCAATTTATCCAATTTCTACTGGAATATGTTCCACCCTAATTGAACATACTACAGTAATTTCCATCTTTAGAAAACCTACATTTCTTACAGATTCCCCGGCCAAGTATTGTTCCATCTTCCTACCACCTTTCTCCTCTAAGCTCTACATATGGTTTGTATGAACTAGATTGAACATTTTCCTTGCATTCAACACCCTCGACTGCTTTCTAATTCACGTGAAACATGACGGAATACATGAAGGAAACAGCAATGACACTTGTCCTCCAGTTTATTCTGCTTATCATTTGTAGCCCTCATCTTCATGAGTCTGCTCTTTCATGGTTATCTTCTAACTTTTTCCAGCCCTCTTTTAGTACCAATACCTGTGCCTTTCTAATGATTGTACCTGCACCACCAAGGTGAACCTTCAGTACTTCTCTAAAATTACACTACTAAGGAAGGTCATTCCCCAGGCAATAGACTTCCTTATCATTTATTATTTTAAGATATTCTTAAGAAAACACTTTATAAGAATCCATAACAAATAACCACTTAATGTATTCCTCTTACCACATCACCCTTTTGTCTTAATTAATGTCCACTTTTCTCCTTCTCATCCTCTCAAGTCATATACCATTAACAGACTATGTTGTTAATAAATTTTTGCTTTCAACAGCATGTATTTTACTGTTTGTATAAGTTTAGCTCATGTTCTCTGTACCAGTGGCCCCAAACCCATTCCTCAAGGACCACCAACAGTCCAGGATTTATGTATTTCCCTTTTTTATTCAAATTGAGATACTGACAAAACTTGGACTGTTGGTGGTCCATAAGGACTGGGTTGGGGACCACTGCTACACTGTAAGCTTGTTTGAGTAGGACCTCAGTATGTCTTGTTTATGTAAGTGAAACATGTTGAATTCAGTTGAATGGTTCATTTTCTGGTTTTACAGGGTTGTAAACTATGCTGGCACTTTATAATAAATAATGACCCATAATAAAATATTGGACACATTTAGCATACATAGAAAGAGTAAGGTTAGAATACCCTATTTTCAAAGCAAATTAAACTGGGAATTGTGTGCTGAAAGGTTATTGGAAGAGTTACATGATAGATGCAGATGAATTGCATTAAAATGTTGAAATAGATTGCATTGTACTCTTTTATATGATTCTTTTTTCGCCAGCCATTGAGGTAAAAAATGTGTTTCTGATTCAAACAATATTATTGCAAAATTCTCTTTTTATTTTAATAAATGCAAAAAAATAAAAAAAAACAATTCCTAAAAAAGATTTTCAACTTGAATAGAAATTTTTCCCATTGACAATGGGAATTTTTTTTAAAAAAAAATCTACTATTTGAAAAACAAAAAAACAATACTATGTTTTGAATGTTTCTTTTTATGAAAAATAAAAAGATTGAATATTATAATAATAATAATAATAATAATAATAATAATAAATGCCAGCTGATACCATCTTCATTTCACACGGCTAAACTATTTCTTGCTGCAGTGCTGTCATATAGATCACTGGCACTCCAGACAAATAATAACTAATTCAAAAGCAAATAGCAAATTGAAAAAAACATGCAATCTAAAGTCCAGCAGACTGATATGTTATGGATTTGCGCTGGCTTACATATGAACCCTTGGCATACAGTATCATATTCTGAGAAGAGGTCTCCTTCGGAGCTTTGTACACTGATTCTCAATTAACCTGCACATACTCTTTCACAGAAATCCCATTGGCCCTGGTTATAGGTATAATGAAATTAACCTTTCTCTGATTACTATGCAAGAAATCACATTCCTTGAACCTATCTGATATACTTAATAGATGAATCTAAAGTGATTAGTTATATTTTAGGTTTTCACTAAAACTATTTTGTACAAACCACTTGGGAAGTCTAAACAAGCTTCTTTAAACACGACTCACAATACATATGCATTATTAGCTTTTTCATTTGAGATTATTAATGCAGTTAAAATAATTTACTGTGAAAGAAAAAATGTAAAAATAGGTCTCAACGAAAATCGGATTCATTTGAATTCCATCCTTTAGCCATTGTACGTATAGTAGTTTCTTTAAATATACAACATCTTTGAAGCGTAAGGTTATTTTATTACCAATAACAACTATTGGAACTCAATAAAGTTGGTGGATTTCTTACATTTTCAGGACGTTCCCTTAGAAATTACAGAACATAGCCAAACATGAAGGTTAACAGAGAGTCAGAATGAGATAATAGAATAGAAAGAACGATTCATGAATCTGTGTCTTCCACTGCCACTTTGCAGTCCACATGTTAGTAAAATTCTTGCCATATTGCCTAAAATTGTTCATTTTTTATTATTAAATGAATGTTTTTTGTGTGGGAGGGACATAAATGTAAACATAGAAACATAGAATGTGACGGCAGATAAGAACCATTCGGCCCATCTAGTCTGCCCAATTTTCTAAATACTTTCATTAGTCCCTAGTCTTATCTTATAGTTAGGATAGCCTTATGCCTATCCCACGCATGCTTAAACTCCTTTACTGTGTTACCCTCTACCACTTCAGCTGGAAGACTATTCCATGCATCCACTACCCTCTCAGTAAAGTAATACTTTACTTTAAATGTAATCTAGAAAAAAAAATATCTCTATAGGAAAGCTCCCTATTGCTTCAATGATGGTACTCACCCTGCAGTAAAACTAATTTAAGTGCTAGTTCTTTGTTCTTTTCCTCCTAATTTATTTAAATGGAAAGCTTCTTTTACATTTACAAAAAGTCCTTATAGGTCAAATGCAACATAAGAGATTGAGGAGGAAGGGCTTGTGACTTATAATTTGATGTAATATAAAATAGTTAATTACTCATGTACATGAATGTACATAAATGGTGTATGGATGTTTTTTCTTGATACAATTTAAAAAGTGGCTCAATAGAGAAGGAACAGCCCAGTTGTGAATCAAGGAAAATGTAAAAGTGTAAACTCTCCTAGAGCTCTGACATTTCACATTACTGCTCTGTGCAGCAAGTAAATAAATTACATTTTAAGATGTACACAACAGTGGTACATGATCCATGAAAAATTCTGAGTGCAGTCCAGACTATATTACATACCTTACTGCAACAAAAGGAAATATTAATAGCATTATTAATATTATTTAAAAGATTGTTCGTCATCTACTGTGCTATGTGAGTGTACTTAATAGGTGATTTCTTTGTGCATTTTTTTTCATCTATGAGGAGAAAGTATATTTACAATAAAATAAAATAAAATGAAACAGCTTTCTAAAACAAACCTATTATACAGAAAACATATGGATGATAAGGTCAGTTTCCTGTAGTTAAATAAATGGAATTTATGCAAATCGACATTGAAGAGACACTATAGACACCAAAATAACTTTAGTTTAATGAAGCAGTTTTGGTGTATAGATCATGCCCATGTAGTCTCACTGCTCAATTCTCTGCCATTTAGGAGTTAAATCACTTTATTTATCCAGTGCTAGTCACACCTCCCTGCATGTGACTTGCACAGTCTTCCTAAACACTTCCCTAAAAATACATCTAATGTTTAAAGCTGCACTGTCACTCCATACTTACCCTTTTCCAACCACGTCCTCTTCTCTTCCTCTTTCCTACTCTGTTTCTCTTTCCATTTTTTTCTAATCTATTTGTAATCAATAACATAAGACAGAGTAGGGACTACTTTGCCATATGTATTTTTCGTATGCCTGACACTTCTTCATGCTGGCCGGTGCTACCAACATTAAGAAGTTTCAATCCTCCAACTTTTACCAGTGATGGCTGCCAGGAATTGGTTCTGTCTATGGAGAATCTCGCAGGAGCAGAAGAGGACCTGCCGGAAGAGGATGGCAATGACCATAAGAGACAAGTTCAGGTAAGTAGATCTCACCTTTGCCTGCTCCCTGACCAGCAGCAATGCCACCATCGGGGGTCTTTGCAAAATATGCAAAGTCCACAAATGGTGACAGTGCCACTTTAGACCTCCTTTATTGTAGTCTTTTTAATTTAGAATTTCTTATCTCAGGCTCTGTTATTTGTCTTATAGACCCTGCAGGAGCATCCTGTGTGTTATTAAAGTTCAATTTACAGAGCATGAGATAAAAACTTCTAAAGCAAGTTAATTTCTCTCTTTTATTTTTTCAAGCAGGCTGTGTAAGTCACAAGCAGGAGAGGTGTGACTAGGACTGCATAAACATAAAAAAAGCAAAACTGTAACTCCTAAGGGAGAGAATTGAAAACTGCTTCATCAAACTAAAGTTGGTTTGATGCTGATAGTGTCCATTGCATTTAAAGATTTTGAGGCTGCATGTTTCTTCCAACATTTGTATCACATTTTATGCGAGGAGACGTTTGTAAATTTACGTACACATTAACTGATTCTAGTTAGTCCTAGTTGAAGGTTCAAGTATTTGCAGATACAGGTACAGTTCGATACCCTTTGGATTTAAAACTGAAGTTCCACATTAAAAAGGAAATATAAAACACATTGAAATGCTTATGTATATTTTCTCAACACACCTATGTTACTAAGTATTGACATTTGGTAAAGACACTATCTTGGTAAGTGATAGCTAACCGTGGTGCTCCAGAGACTTGTTGATTACATTTCCCATGCACATTCAGCCCTTAACATCTAAGTTACCCAAATAGCTATCGGTGTAGGTTATCTGGGGTTCTAGGGTTCATTTGTTACCAGACACAGCCCAAGTTAAAGGAATTCCTTTAACGTGTCTACAAAAGATGTGTCAAAAAGGTAAAAAAGGTAGATCCATAGCAGTTATAGCATATTAAGGCAGAGTATCAGTATAGAGGTTTTAGTTCTACAAAAGTTGGATCTAGCTTTTGGTGACCCTCGGGCTATATCACTTGAAATATCATAAAGTACAAAAAAAAAAAGGCATAACAAACATAAAATCCAAACAAGCCCAGACACAACATTTTAAATAGTGTGATAACTGAAGGCTGTGTCTGTCCTTACTATGCTAAACTAATAAAATTTCTAAAAATACCCTGTGTGTGATTGAAAGGTCAGTTTGAAAATGCAATCGCAATATGCTAACTTATTAGTATTCTTACCATGCTCGAACATAACTAAAGAAAATATATATATATATAAAAAAAGAGTTCTATGAAAGTGGATGGCAAAACGTTCTTTAATATATAAGAAGACTGTAAAAAATATAGAAATGAGTCAAGTATGAGAACTGAGAGCTATGTTTAAAGGACATGAAATAAGTTGCTTGATGTGATGATACTTATTTCTCTGCTTGAAGCTGCATTAGTTATAAGAATTCAGCTAATCAATTTTCTTTTTTACCATTGAAAGTAATTCAGATTTATGGAGATGCAGAAGTTTATAAAAAAAAAAGTATAGAAATTAGGAGAAGTCTCATATAAAATACATCAATGTTCTATTCTGCTTGTTGTGTGTTTATTGGTCGACTAAACTATATCAAAGCAAGTATATTCCTATGAGGCTACCCATTCCTAAGAGAACCTTGGCTTTTCTTTAATTAACACATAAGAAATCAATTAGAGCCTAGCGATTCCTACTGCAAAGTTAGTTGATTAACTGGATGTGAAAGTAATTCTAAAACCTATGTCTGGACCAGCAGCTCTCAAAGGATTGGTTAGAGAGTCTGAGTATATATCATTAGAGTGAATCTGCCAGTCAAACAGAATTGTCGTAAAATGCCTAACCCAACAATAACCAGATTGCTTTTCCTCACTGTTGCTTTCCTTTCCTTATAACCTCAACAGCAGCTTGGAACCTCTGTGTCATATTTGATTCATCCATCTTTGTGCTTCATCCATCTTGCTACAAACACATATCCTATGGTAGTTAATTCAGAAAATTCCACTTCATTATCAAAAAATATATATTTGCTAATCATATTTTTAACCACAAAGCTTATATTTACACTCCCAACCTTACTAGGGTGGTATACCTCGATGAAAATGGATGGTTGTCTACAATTTCATATTCTATTATTATTAGTATTATTATTTTATTCTTTATTTAGCGCCAGCAAATTCCGTAGCACTGTACAATGGGTGGACTAACAGACACAAAATTTGTAACCAGACAAATGGACTCACAGGAACAGAGAGGTTGAGGGGCCTGCTCCATGAGCTTACATGCTAGAGAACTAAGGTATTTTTGACAGTTGCAGGAGAGGAGTCACGGAGAAATATAAACATGTTAGTGTTACCTTACCTATTAATGGGACATCCCCCTATGATGATTTAAAAGGTAGTTTGTACATATCTTTAATACTCTTCACTATGGTTTGCTGATATCAAGATTAATGATCTAAGCAATCCAATGCTTCGATGGATAGTTCACATGTGCAGCAATTTGAAGTGCTACACCAATCAAATCATTCCTACAGAGCACAGCAATTATGGAAAGACCTCCCGCACACTTTTAAATCTTCCCCAAGCCTAAAGTCCTTTAAGAGATCCCTCTCTACATACCTCAAAACAGAATGCACCTGTCATGGTTTATTATATCATTCATACCTGTTCTATGTTACATTTTGTATATATTGTGTATTAATATTGTTTTTGTATTTTATTGTACCCTATTGTATCAATGCAATGTTTTGTGGACCCAGGACATACTTGAAAACGTGAGAAATCTCAATGTATCTTTCCTAGTAAAATATTTTAGGAATAATAATAAATAATAAACATGCTGTCTATCAGCAGCATTTGTTTGAATAACCAAGCCTGATTTGATTATTCAGCAGAGGTGCCTCTAGTGTCTGTCAGGAAGACAGCCACCAGAGGTGTGTTTCACCCTGCAATTTAAGAATTGCACTTTGTTTAAAATAGCAATGATTTACATTGCAGGGTTAAAACAACAAGGACACGGTACCCAAAGCCAGTATTCTCTATTACGGTGGTCCATAACCTCAGAGTTGGGACCCAAGAAATAATTTTTTAGTTTCATTTTAGTGGATCACCATTGGTAGGAACTGACACATCATATTCATCAGATCCACAGATACATTTTGCTTACTGAGGCAGCACTGCTTACCCCAGTGCAGTTGAAGCCTCTTTGATATGGAAAATGTCTAATTAAGGTGCTTTGCAAAATGTATTTTGCTTTTAATTAAAGTGGATTTAAATAATAAGTCACTGACCTAATTTAGGCCTCGATTTAATATTCTTGGATAAACTTTTTAAATAATTTAATGAATTGTGAAAAAAATGCAATATTTTTTTTTTATATATATATTTATATATTGTATATTTAATGCTTTATTACTATTAAAATTATTTGAAAAGTTTATCCAAAAATATTAAATCATTTAGAAAGTTTATCCAAAAATATCAAATGGAGGCTGTAGTGGACTGTGTGTTACTACTCAGTATTTTATTGTTCGCGTCCCTACCCCTAATTGTTAAATTTTATTCCATCCTCCATGGTTCAGTACACTGAGAAAAGAACCAAGTAACCCCCTATCCGTTGTGTCATTCGTCTGGTTGTTCGGTAAGAATTTACTTTGAACCATCTGAAGTTATGCCATTCGACAAACGAGCAAACTACCAGACAACCAGGCCTCCCCGGAGAGGAGCATGGCATTAATTGACCTCCCCTATCCTTATTCACTTTACCTCAATTGACAATTACGCGAACGCACTATTGCGTTCCCCTGGGTGGCCGCCATTCTGCATGCGAACACGTGGCGGCGGCCATCTTGCCATACAAACGCACCAGAGGTGTTTGGTCATCGAGTGTCTGGAACCCAAATCGGACACTCGACCACGCGAATACCGCAGGGACCTCCATACTTCCACACGTTCATGGGAAAACATACGAATGGAATGGCGTTCGGTGAAAGGATTCACACAAACGATGGGAATCATCCGAACCCAGGCAGAGTCCAGTATATTAAACCATGCTTTTCATCTCACGAATGGAGACCGACCGCAAGGTCAAAACACATGGAACTCTCTTCGGCTAACACCTCGCGTGCTGTTGGTAAAACGAAGACCTTCAGGAAATTCATGAACCCCTGAACCGATCTAGGTGATTTTTCAGTATGTTGCTCACCCAGATTGGGGCTATCAGGGTATATATAATTTATGGGTGTATGTGATGGTTTTGGGGTACATCCAGGAATTGGGTAAAAATGTGTGTTTCAAATGTATAGTTAATTGTGTTATCTCCCAGGGGAGGGAACCTGTGTACTGTAACCAGCTAGCGATTGGGCCATTCCTAATTTTCTGTGGGTGTCTCCCTTGCATGGGAGCAGTGCATAAAAGCAGAGTGTGTGGCATTGAAATTCAGTTCTGCTCTTGATACTGAGTGTCATCCAGTTATTAGGAAAGGTGATGGGATATTCGTGGATTACTTTATTTACTGCTTATGCTGTTCTTCTTATGATAACCTACTTGATTCTGGGTAACTATTGGAATACCAGCGGAGAAAAGTCAGTTAAATTAGCACTCCGCTACAGAGACCTTAGTAGGCTCAAGTATAAGAGCCAGTTATTTACTGCATTATTTTGTACCTCTGGGATTCTGGCCTCTCATTTGATATTTCAATCATTGTAGTTTGTACTCAGTATTCTACGGGTCTCTGCGGGTCTCCAATTATAACTTTCAGCTACCTTCAACAAAAATCTTCGCTGTTAACCAGTATTGTTATATTTATTGTTATATGTGATCAGTGGAGTCTACTCCATAGGGGCTCTTGGGGCAGCTGATAGCACCAGGGGGTGAGGTTAGAGTGCCTATTGGAGAAAGAAGCTTTTTTTCTCAGCTCTGTTTGTGATATGGTTATCTCATCTCTAGAAATCTCATCTCCATTGTACTCAGCTCTATGTGGTTTTTAGATATCTTTATTTTGTGATTATATTCTTTTATTGTATGAGCATCTCTATATTATGCTCCTATTGTATGAGTATCTCTGTACTATAAAGGGCGGAGAAACCTGGAAGAGGAATCTGGCTCCCCACTGTCTTAAAACTTCACCAACCATCACTGGATGTTATAATACAGTTATTATACATTTATAATACATTTTAAGATATAAATACTGGGAAAATTGAAAGCTGTTGGTTGGGAATAATGTACGTAAATAACATTAACTTAGGATGACAATCAGCAAAATGAGATACAATGGCATACTTCCTGCTTTCTTGACTTGCAATAACTAGGTATCACAAATATCTGAGGTTAGCTTATTTTAATATGATTATGTGTTAGAAAACATGTATTGATTACTGTTGGATGTAATATTGGGTTTATTTGGTTCAGTTCTATCCCTTGACCTATAGCTTATTAACAATAACCTAGAGAATACCGCCAACTTTTTCTTCCTTTCTTTCTTTCTTTCTTTCTTTCTTTCTCTCTTTCTTTCTTTCTTTCTTTCTTTCTCTCTTTCTATATAGTATTAAGGACAACAACATTATGTTTATTTAAAAGAGGAATAGAATGTTTTTATAATACGGTATGTATGCGTATTTAATTGGGTGTTTGGGTATTACCAGACATCATAAGTAAGAATATATATAAGTGTGTATTTCTTCTTTTGTGTGGTTCCCCTTGTGCTTTTTTTTTATTCTGTTCTATCCTTGTGTAAAGTGCCAATTAAAGTTCTCATCCTATTTTTTATAGAGATTGCCACGATGGCTTGCTTTTGTCTTAGCCTCCCACATTTTTCTGTCTATAAGGAATGAGCTTCCTTGCCGAGTGTCTCTTCAATAATAAATCAGGGTACGCAACCGTGCTTTGATTTAATTATATGGTTGCAAGTTTAACCTGGTCTAAAATATTTTACATATTAGGAAAGGTCTCAAATGTCTCAGGATTACAAAATGCCTACAGTTTGAGCTACTCTACAGCTATAACTCTTTAAAACATATTGTAATCAAAGCATATTAAAATAAAACCTGCAAAAAAACACAATTACCACTTAAAAGTTAGGTACAGAACAATCCAAGAGGGGAAAAGAGAAGACAAAAAGTAAAACAATCATATAGATATGGACTGTGAAAAAAATAATCTAATAGAAAAGATCAGTTAAAGAGAAATGAAGAAATGTGTATATCAAGGACCAAAGAGAAATGAAAGACAGAAGACATCATCACATATCCGCTAGAGGATCAGTAAAAGCATCACCTCGAAGTTGCACTCAAATCTCTATCGCCTTGGTCAAAACTTGGTCAATGCTTCAACCAGTAGAGGCATCTATGCCTCTAATAATTTAGTTTCTTTATGTCTTAGTTTCCCCATTTGCTTAGTCTATGCCTCTCATAATTTGGTTTGTCCAACTTCTATATTTATTTTGCTTTCTCCCCTCTGGAAACCCAAGGATCCAGGGAAGGGGGTTGTCTCTTTCACCAAAACAATGGAATTACTGCCTTTACCGCATTCAATAGTTTTGGTGAAATATATATTTTTTCTTTTAGTTTTTGATGTATATGAGCATATCGAAGAGTGATATGTTAATGTGTCTTTAAATTATAGTGAATGTATTTTTAAATTAATTAAATTAACCTAATCCTTATGTGCCTTTGACCAGATTCCATAAACAACTATTAAAAAAGTTATTTATTTATTATTTTTACAACAGTAATTTCACATCTTAGTGTTTTAGGCAATGATTTGTGGAAAGTTATTTTTTTTAATTAATTACTTGGCCGTGGTACTATGAGTTTTTTTCTGTCAAAATGTTTGTAGAATTTTGAAAGAAGCTGGAGCTCTCCCTGGTACCCATAGCCTTGGCAGCCACAGTGATAATGCAGTGTATGCTTGTGCATTATTGAGTGCAAAAAATATATAATTAATATTCCAAAGAATCTCCACAATTTTCTACTCAAACAAAAAACAAAACAAAACAACAAAAACAAAAACAGATTCCCTCCTGGGCTGGTTGTGTTATTTATTTGAAAGTACTAATGATTAAATTAGGTTAGATTTAAATTTTTGCTATTCCAGCTTCACCTCATGGTGTCAACCAATGATATGATAGCCTTCCTGTCCCGATGAGCAGATTTGGGTACAATATTACAAAAGGAAACAATTACCATAGATAGATCTGTGTTTTTGTTGTTCTGTATAACCACAACAGGAATTGTTGACTAGCTCGGATACTGTGGCAGATTGAGAATAAATGCGAAAAATACATGACAGTCCATGATTTATGATACATTCTTCCAATAAAAATATTCTGGAACAAGATTTTACACAAAGCAACAATCTTATAATAATCCCCTTGTTGTTCTGAGCTGTATTATTCTGCTTAGCATCACATTAATCTGCCATTTATTAATTGCTCTCATTAACATGTTTTACTAACATGCTAGTTGCTCCAATTGTCCAGAAAATTATATGTACACTGTTGTATTTTAATTGAAATATTTCAATACTTGGATAAAGTCTTATTCCTAAAAAAGATGCTCAGAATCATGAAGGTGCTGCCTTTGTTTATTGCAATAAACAAAACATATATAGTAAATGTAAAATAAATCATACAGTGGACAGGTTCAAAACATGATTAATTAAGAAAGTTAGAAATTCAGAAATTATTGATTTTTAATTTCTAATTGAGAATATTTCTGCATTTTTCAATGCTATGAACCATATGGACAAAAAAAGGACACTGTAATATATATAATGGTTACGGGGTACCATGCTGGTAAATAAAAAAACAAGACTACACACAGGTACACTCCTACATCCATACACACACACATACTCTATACAAAACATGCTCACATTCAAACAGCAAACACTGTTCAGTGCTAAACACAACCATGCAAGGATGGGCAAATTGAAGATCCCCAGCTGGCAAAGCATGATGGGAGCTGTACGACAGATGGGGATCTACTGTTTCGCTATATTTGTGATAGGGGCCCAATAAATACTTGCACAATGGCTCTTCTACTTTAGTTCTGGCACTGTGTTTACTGTTAATGTTGTATCTTGGAGGCTATCCTTTGAGTGATAGTAGCAGCCAACAGTTATACCCCTACAAGGCTATGTGTCAAGATATTCCTATTGTTATGCTCTGCACAGTTGATTGTATGATACTTTGATCTGATTTCTCAGCCCTGGGTATTCTTATCATTCTTTGATTTTTCTTTTTGGATTTTTTTTTAATTACTTGCATTGGTACGCTGTACCCATTACATCTATTATAGTATCCGTTTTTTCCTATACATTTCAAAGCATTGGAAAATATAGGAATATTCTCAAGTATATATTTAGAAGCAATAATTTCAGAATTTTTGTGTTCGGATTTCTACTATTTTTAATTTACTTTTTGGAATAGGTTTTAAAAACAAACACATAACCTAGGCAAAAATAATGGGGGTTTAGTTACAGTAAATTATTATAATAGATTGCATAAGCCTGCCACAACGTGCTGCATCTTATATGTATTTATAAGTTGAAAAAAGTTATTATTAAATAGAAAATTAAAGTAAACTGACATATTTGTGTCTTGCAGCTTGAGATGTTAGTCTTAAACATTATTGCAAAGTGTTAAGCAGGAGGTTGGGACACACTGATTCCTTTAAGTACCATGAGGCCCGATGAAGGTTCAGAGGCCAAACGCACTGAACCTTTTTAAATGCAGAATGAAACAGCAAGTAGTCCCAGGGCAGCTATTTAATGATTTACGTCTGTACCGAACATAAAGAAATCTCCTGTAAATCGGATACAAATATAATTTTCTTGTTCTTTTTATATTTTTGTTTAAATAATTACTTCAATTCAAGGTTGGGAAAAATATGGACCCCCAGCTGTTGATGACGAATGGGGTTTTCCACTAAAATGAGTACTCAAAGTGAATTTATAATTTAAGGTCAGAATAGCGTGAATTGAAAGCATGGCTACATTTTTCTTACTTTAGTAAATAACACTAAAAATATAATGTAATTTGACAATGATTTGACATCTGACAACAATATGTTTAAGCACCTAAGTGCACGTCATTTGCAATGTATTTAGTTGTGTATTGATTGTCTTCTGTAGAGCAAACTGAAGGCATAAAATGGGTGTGACCTAGATACATTACTAAGCCACAGATATTGAAAGGGCAAAGCCACAAACAAGTACTTGTAATAAATGTTGCTGGCGAGGATGAACAGTGAATATCTATATTAGTATTTTGATGGAGTCCGTGTATTGTCAATCATATGGATCAGTTTTTGGATCAAAAAACAAGTGCTTAAGAATACACTGTTCTATGAACATATTAAGTAAATATGGTATCCTAAATATCACATGGAATATAAATAAGCAGGATCAAGAATGAAATATTGAGAGTGTTTAATCTGTCACAAAATATGATGGAAATGATGCATCCTTTACCAATATTGTTATTCTACCACTCTTAACTAAAGCAGCACTGGCTCACACACACCTTTCCCACTCAGCAAAATGAGCATTTTGTAAAGATAAAATCTTTACAAAGTACTCATATTGACTGTGTTGGAATTTCACTGAATTTTTTATTCACTGAATTCACCAAAAGTAGGCACTACTTTGTCTCAGTATTTTTCCTCCCTTTGACACTTCTTGACATTGGGCGGAGCTATCTGTGCCAAGAAGTATCAATCCCCCAGCCATCACCAGTGTCAGCTCCAGAGAATTGATCCTATCTATGCAGGATCCTGCAGTCTTGTAGGATCCTTCATAGACTTCAACTTCAATGCTGTACTTTCGCTTATGACATCAACTGAAGTGGCAGGAGCAAAAGAGGACGATGGTGGCGCCCACGAGGAACAGGATCAGGTAAGTAAATACTCACTTTTGCCTCCCACCAGATAGATAGATAGATAGATAGATAGATAGATAGATTTGAAACATGCGATGAATAGCTAGTATATTAGCTACTTCACTACTTAAATTATAAGCATTTTTATTTTAATGTATTTCGCCGAATATAATCTAGTCCATAAAGCCTCACATACCATTATTTATAGTCTAGCTATGATTACAAACCCGTAAAGGAACAGATTTCTCTTTTGCCAGAAACCACTAGTCATTTATATAATGCTTGTACATTGGTTGAAAATATAATCTTGCCTCTTGCTTTTAATCAATACAGAGTGTTACAATGTGTCATATCATTCCTACAGCCTGTATATGTTTCAGAAATTTTAAATACAGAACCTTTATGTTAGGAATTTATTAGTTGCATGTATTTTTTGTATAAAGACCAGTTTATGCCCAAATGCAGAAATTGTTTTTACATTCTGTTGCTATTTTAGTAAGCTGTACTGCTAGTAACGCCTCCAGGATCCTTGCAAATACATATAAGCAAGATATTTATATATTTATCAACTTTTAACACAGCTAATGTATGTGAGAAAAGTTGACTGTTGGCTTTTATACTAATATTTCATACCCTGTATGTAAATATGGCAAGATAAATTAATAATCACTATGTATTCTATACAGTTACTTTAACCCCTTCGCGACCGAGGACGGTTCAGGACCGTCATCGGCATTTTTGCCTTGCAGACCGATGACGGTCCTGAACCGTCCTAACGGTCAGAGGTACTTACCTGATCGCCGTCGTTCCCCCGGCGGCGATCAGTGTTGCTCCGGTTGTGGGGAGACTGCCTGCAGCCCAGACAGTCTCCCCACACTGAATTAGGACCCCTGTGGCCATGTGATCGCTTAAAAAAGCGATCACATGGTCACAATAGGTGTCCATGTGTCTGCCTGCAGGGGGACTGTCTGTGCTGACAGGCAGTCTCCCTGCTAGTGTAAAATCAAAAAAATAAAATTAGTTAGTGTTAATAAAAAAAATAAAAAAAATTATATATGTGTATATATGATATATAGACATATATTATATTTATATAATATATGTCTATATATCATATATATAATGTCATACTAAGTGTATTTTTATATTAATATGTACTTATATTAATATAAAAATACACTTATAATTAAATTACACACGTGTATATATATATAATATATATAATAACTATATATATTGTATATATATATTATTATAAAATATAAATAATAAGTAATTTAAATTAAATTTGTTTTTAAATAATAATAAAAAATTTAAAAAAAATTATATATCTATATGAAATTTTATTCTAACTGTATTTTAAAATTAATATATATATATATTTATATCAAAATACACTTAGAATTAATTTGTATATATATCTATGTATATATAAATAAATAAAAATAATACGAAATATACATATGTCCATATACAAAATTACATAAATAATTATATAAATATACATGTAGACTTCAAATATATAAATATGCATATATATTTAAATTCTACGTGCGTATTTATGCAATATTTTTACATAATTCAGTAATTTTATTGATTGCAATTTGAGGGACCTGCCTGCCAACCCAGGCCGAAATTCCAGAGAATTTAATTTGCTAGCACTGTATTTTACCCTGTAACGTTCTACGACACCCTAAAACTTGTACATAGGGGGTACTGTTTTACTCGGGAGACTTTGCTGAACACACATATTAGTGATTCAAAACAGTAAAACATATCACAGCGATGATATTGTCAGTGAAAATGACTTTTTTTGCATTTTTCACACACAAACAGCACTTTTACTGATGATATAATAGTTGTGATACGTTTTCCAGTTTTTAAACACTAATATTTGTGTTCAGCGATGTCTCCCGAGTAAAACAGTACCCCCCATGTACAGGTTTTATAGCATTTTTGAAAGTTACAAGGTCAAATATATGGGTCAAATATTTTACATTGAAAATGGCCAGGTTGGTTACGTTGCCTTTGAGAGCGTATGGTAGCCCAGGAATGAGAATTACCCCATGATGGCATACCATTTGCAAAAGAAGACAACCCAAGGTATTGCAAATGGGGTATGTCCAGTCTTTTTTAGTAACCACTTGGTCACAAACACTGGCCAAAATTAGCGGTCAATTTAGTTTTTTTACTTTTTTCACACACAAACAAATATGAATGCTTACTTTGGCCAGTGTGTTCGACTAAGTGGCTACTAAAAAAGAATGGACATACCCCATATTGAATACCCTGGGTTGTCTACTTTAAAAAAAATATGTACATGTGGGGTGTTATTTAGAGATTTATGACAGATAATAGTGTTACAATGTCACTATTGATAAATTTTAAAAATGTATGTTTTGAAACTATAATATCCTACTTGTACCTATAGCCCTATTACATGCAAAAAAAAGCAAAAAAGCATATAAACACTGGGTATTTTTAAACTCAGGACAAAATTTTGAATCTATTTAGCAGTTTTTTTCATTCGCTTTTGTAGATGAGTAAAAGATTTTTCAAGTAAAAGTAAAAAAACATGTATTTTTTTCAATTTGTCATCATATTTTTTTATTTTTTTTAAATTAAAATACATGAGTTTATATAAATAATGGTATGTAAAGAAAGCCCCTTTTGTCCTGAAAAAAAACAATATATAATTTGTATGGGAACAGTAAATGAGAAAGCGGAAAATTACAGCCAAACACAAACACCACAAAAGTGTAAAAATATGCCTGGTCGCAAATGTACAACATCGCAAAAAAGGTCCAGTCCTTAAGGGGTTAATCCTCTTTTTAATTTTATTAAATAAATTGCTTAGCTCTTGTTACAAAGTGTTTGCGCTACCACTTTTTCAATCAGATATTCATTGCACACTTTTTTTTGTTTAAACATTGTTCATAGTTCTTAAGAGAAATTTGTAGAAATGTTTGTTTTTTTTGTACGTGGCCCGAAATGAGAATGCATTTAGAATGTCTGTTTTTGTAACATAACCGATCTTCTGAGAAAAAATATATATTGCTTTACTAAATTTGTAACCATCCTTCATTAACTATAATGCCTGTACATATTAGAATTATACACTTTTGAATTTGAATCATTAATCACAGATGCACAAACACTCTAAACAATAAATATATATATATATATATATATATATTAGCATTGGTTATAGGATATTTAGAAGTAGCACTTCTCTCAAAATAAAGAAAAGTACATGCAGTAATGATTACATAGTAATATTGATAACAGTTGAGCATTTTACAATAATGTCTTATTTTCTTATTTTAACCCCTTAAGGACGACAGACGTACTATGCCATCCTTGAAAGGGTGGACTTAAATGCTATGTACTCACCTGGACCGGCGATCTGCGACGATTCCGGTCGGGGGGGACTGCTCCAGCTCCAGGGCCATGTGATCACCATGATCACATGGCCGCAATAGGAGTCTATGGAGATGCCTGTAGGGGAACTAACTGAGCTGTCAGGCAGTCCTCCTGAGTCCTAAAATATAAAATATAAATTTTTTTTAAAAAGCAATAATATATTAGACATATAAAAATAATACATATGATTTTGTGTTCTTTATGATATATACATCTCAAAATACACTTGCATATGTATAATGTATTATAAAATGCTTTAATTATTTTATAATATACATTTATAGGAAATAAAAGTGTGTGTGTGTGTGTATTATATATGGATGTGTATTATACACATGTATTATATATGGGTATATATAATATAATATAAAAAAAATTTAAACAAATCTGTCAAAAAGCAATTGCAAAATCTGAAATTGGCAAATCTTATGTTTGACCCTGTAACTTACCAAATCATCATAAAACCTGTACTTGAGGGGTACTGTTAAGGAGGAGACTATATTTAAAAGAAGAAAAACTACCACAACAAGAGGACATAGTCTTAAATTAGAGGGACAAAGGTTTAAAAATAATATTAGGAAGTATTACTTTACTGAAAGGGTAGTGGATGCATGGAATAGCCTTCCAGCTGAAGTGGTAGAGGTTAACACAGTAAAGGAGTTTAAGCATGCGTGGGATAGGCATAAGGCTATCCTAACTATAAGATAAGACTAGGGACTAATGAAAGTATTTAGAAAATTGGGCAGACTAGATGGGCCGAATGGTTCTTATCTGCCGTCACATTCAATGTTTCTATGTTTCTATGTTGTACTCGTGAGACATGTGTACTCTACACAAATATCAGTGTTTTAGAGCAGTAAAATGTATTATACTAATGATATCATCGGTGAAAGGGCAGTTTATTTGTGAAACATGCAAAAAACCTAATACAAAATGCAAATTTTTTATTTTGGCCAGGGTTTTTTACTAAGTGGCTACTAAAAAAGACTGGACATACCCCATTCTGAATATCCGGGGTTGTCTACTTTTACACATGGTATGCCATGATGGGGTTAATTTTCATTCCTGGGCTGCCATACAGTCTCAAAGGCAACATAGGCCCAGCAAACCAATCTGGCAAATTTTCAAGTGTGGGTGCACTTAATATGAAAGAGGTGAATTACAGTTGAACCACATGTAGCGCAAATTACTGGTTTTGTTTACGTTTTGTTTTGATCGCAACTTTTACAACTGGCTCAGTCCTTAAGAGATTAAAGATCACATTATTTATAATAAATAAAAACAATAACTGTAAACATAAAACTTATTTGTAATCATGCACTGAGACAGGCTCCTCACTGTATCTTTTGCCCTTCCTTTGTTTGATGCTTCTCATAAACAGTAAACATGGTTGGCATCATCGTGCAGTGACGACATCGAACATGCAGACGAGGAGGCACCTGGGGTGGCTGTCAGGATGACGTGTTTTTAGACAACATGTGAATATTGGTGTTTCTTCAAAATAATAATGTTTTTCATTGCCAGAGTACAGGAACAGGATTTATGGACCAACACCGCTTTATTATGATAAAGTGGTTTTGGTGCATCTTTAGAATTCCTGGAAAACGTACATATTCTCTTCCAGGGCACAGAAAATTGTTGACTTTTTCTAAGAGGTCAGTTAGAAGGTCATCAAGAAGTAAGCAATTAGTAATGTAATGGTTAGAAGTCCTTTGTCTTATATATATACCTGTATATATATATATATGTATATATATATATATATATATATATATTCCTTTTACACACTTAAGCAATCAATTTAACACAGACCATGAACAATAACAGGACTCGGTTTAACAAACTATAAATACATTTATTGACTGAGCTAGCTAATGGCTCTCTAACTCTATTTTTAAAACAAGCCGATTCCACTTAACAACATGTAGAACAACAGGCAAATACCACAAATGGGATTGTTGTCACTGGAACACTGCTTCCACCTGTGCATCAGTATAGTTTTTGGATTCAAAATATCTTTATGTAAGTGCATGCGCTAAAGAAACCACAGCTTTTATTAAACACATTCACCCTTCTCATGAACTTGTGTTTTATAAATTCCAAGATTTAGATTTTTGCATGCTTGTTTACAAATTAGAAGAATATATTTTTCCCTCTACATTATCTCTTATTATGCAGGATAACAAATGTATTGTTCTGTTTGATGGGATCTAGCAAGCTTTCAGATGTACATTAATTGCAGTACATTTCAGTATTTCTCCATAAGTATGCTTATGATTACTTACAATTACCTTAGTGGAAGACTTCCCTGATGCATTGCAGATGTTTTAGTGGCTCCCGTTGCATACAGTGACATAAAAAAGAACACTACAGAGTTAGGATTGCAAACCTCTATTCAACCTCTATTCATAGTGCTACAGTGTTCTAATATGTGATTAGTTTTAGGGCACCCCCACAATTTGCAGTAAAAAGTTGAAAATAAAATTTTTACTTACCTTTCCTCCAGCGCCAAGTCTTCTCTGGAGCTGCTGCCCACTCCTCGTCCCTCAATGTCATCCAATCCAATGCTTGTTATTGAGGAGCACTGGGGATGAGTTAATTTAATGCTTTTCTATTAACTGCATTTGATGACATTCACATCATGTGAGCAAGTTTTATTCAAACGTTGCCTCAGAAGTCCATATAGTAGCCGAATATGTGACACCCACTAGAGGTGTATTTACCCACTAAGATAAGGTGGTCTTTGTAACATCAGTGGTCCTATAAGTACTCATATGTGTAATGAAACTACCAGTAGCTTCAATGGCCTGAGAACACCAGTTTCCTAAATTTGAAAGTGCAACACGATCAACAACAGATCTCAACCTATGTAAAATTGCAAACAAATCCCACAAGTGTTTTTTTTTTGTTTTTTTTAATAGATTTGATTTATCTGCTCATTCTGTGAATGTTCCTTTAAGACAGCTGTAAAAGAAAATAGACCTCTCTATAGTTTAATATTTGTTTTATCACATTATTATACACTTCAGCAACAAACATAAAGATAGTACTTTTTCACAGCCAGTATGATTAGTTCAGTGAGTTTCCTGCTCAGCGAGCACACACTGCTGAATCTACTCCTATATGGGCTGATATCTCAAGCATGTTTAGCAGTTCCATGAAATCAATTTAAAGTTGAGAGCTGCACACAGCCTTTTGGAGCTGTCCATTCTGCCCATTATATTAACCAGTAAAGCCTCATCTGTCATTACTGACGGGGTTGGCTCTCTACATTGCTACCTATATTAAGATTACTGGACCTATTGGACAAATTCATGTTTACAGTATATTTAGATAACATTTTCTAAAATTGTAAGTACATTTTAGATATTATCAATGTTTGAATGTGTGTGATCTATATAACCTATGGCCATATTTTAATATGAGGGATAGCAGATGCAACATGCTTAAAGGTGTAGCATTAGGAATTCAAACCTTTATACCTGGCACAATAGTGTCCTTATCCCTAATTAGATTCAGGTACCCCACTTATGATGTGTAAAAACCTGTAAAAAAAGATTTTAACTACACTTTTTCCACCATCACGACTTTCTCAGCTCTGCTACCTGACCTGCCTTCCACAACATCACCAAGGAGACATCGCTTCCTTGTCCCTGGTCCAATTCAATGCTCCTCATTGGGGATCTGATGCACATTTGCTGCAAGCCCTGCATGCACACATCCAACTATATGCTTTGTATAGGGAAGCATTGAATTAAATACTTTCCTATGAGCTGCATTTTATGATGTCCAATGTCCTCCTAGACATGGAACATCAAATGACTGAGTCAAACTTGGTTGCTACAGTGGAAGCGCCTCTAGTGCCTGTCAGCCAGACAGCCAATAAAAGTGTGTTTAACTCTAACAGCTAAACACTGCTGTTTATGGAGAATGGCAATGGTTTTCCACTTGTAGGGCCACTGCATCCAAACCACTTCATCAAGGTGACTTTAGAGGTCCTTTAAGAGATATAAAATATAGAGAATGATTTTGCACAATTCTTGTAGTTTAGAGGGATTCTCCATGCACCGTGGCCATTTCAGTAATTTGAAGTGTTCATGGTGCTTGGAGTCTGTATATGCAGCATTTAGCTATGAATTGCAGCACATATGGTATTTAGAAGTTTTACTGGGGTGTCATTAGCCAGCTCCAGGCTTGTTAATGTCAATTTTGCCAAGAGTTCCAGGCTTCTTAAGGTCAAGTTTGTGCATTTATTGGCTGAATGTGGTCAGTTGGCACTCTCAGTCAATGAATGGCCAGTGTGATCTACATCCAGCTTCTGCTGCTCAGAAGAAGTGGATATATGATGCTGTAAAATATCTAGTCATGAAGCTTGGAGTAAACCTTTAGGTTTTTAGCCCGTGACAGTTGATACACGTGTAGGATATTCCAGAAGGCAGCATATTTCAGAACAGTTCCTCACGGCATGGGAAAGTTCCTTGATGAGAATCATATTTATACTCCCGTCAGTGTCCCCAGGTCTTAGAATTACCTGCACAAATGGACATAAAATGAGAATGTTTGGTCATTTAAAATTTAAGGCCAAAAACTGGCTGAATTGAAAAAACTCTCCAAGTCAGCTAATCTCCAATCCAGGTTGACTATTTTGGTCTGCATTTTTAAATTCACTTAGAATTCCTGACAATTCTCACATTATTAAATAACCCTGTATCTGTAGTCTGGGATGCAGTCAATGGAGAACACCAGACTTTTGCAAGTCTGCTGTTTAGACACGTGTTCTAACATGCTCCAAGTTACCCGATATCCTGTCTAAGGAATGTTTGATGTTAACTTTTGATGTTAAAAATTCAGCAGATTAGGTTTGCCACCAGTTTATCATCATCATAATCCGTAATTTTCTGGTTAGTGACCATGACTTGAAGTCCTCTGTGAATGGCTGAAGGCACCAGAGTGCCGTCACAAATTATGTATTCTTCTGATGGGTCAGTTATGGTTTCTGCTTATACAGAGAAATCTGCCAGAACCCCAATAGAGAGAGGAGGGCATGATAAGACTTAAAAGGCTAAATTTAGTCTGTACATATGCCAAATTGATGGAGAAAAGGTTATGTAATCACTGACCCTTTAAAGCCTGTGTTCACTAAGAGCCTGGAAGTTATATATATCAAGGATTTACTCCTTTGCAACATGTATACTCCATAAAATCATGATCTGTGTGGGCTGAATATATTTTTTAGAATTGTGTTTTATAAATTATTCATAAGTAATATACAACTTTGAAGAACAGAAGAAGGTAACTATAAGAAAATAAAGACACACTGATAGGAGGCGGCTTTTCAGCATTATTGAGGGGAAACAGATATAGACACAGATGGTACAGGTTAATTTCGTGAGGATGCAAATATTCTTCACAGTTCATTTTACAGATGGCTAGTTCTAAATGAGTGTTGAATATGGGAATTTTTTCAACTTATCTTGCATGAGTTAACACAAAATGGTGTTTATAAAAATGTGATTTAAATATCATGCCACTTCATAAGTCTCGTTAAATAAGCAGTTGCACTAATTAACCCCTGTCACATTAACAATGCTAATTACACTATGAGTGTTAAAATATGAGAGCAAACTATTCAAAAGTCAAAGCACTGCATTGTTTTAATATGCAGAATCCTCTCAATCCTCACTATGCTCAAACATGTTTTATGCAGAAGCAGATTGGAAACTGTGACGATCGAAGAATTAGAAAATAAATATATATATATATTAAGAAAACATGTGACTTGTGTTATATGGTGTAGATGGCTGTGCCAGGCTGATACCTTCCTCTAAGTAGCCAGGGAACTTAAGAGCTAATGGAGGTGTCATTCCCACTCTGTGCCCAAAATGCTTGTATCAAAGTAATTTAAAAAAAATCTAGGTCAACTCTCAGTAAGCCTGTTACATCTAGAGAGGGCAAAGTGGGCATTTAATTGGTTTGTCTAGTGGAAAGCACCATGTCAGTGTCATTGTAGAAACTAACGTATTTGTCAATGAACGCACATATGCACGTTTGGGTATCTGTGTTTCTGCTAGTGTTTGTTGCAAAGAAAGCAAAAGTAAAATGCACACACTAAAAAAAGGGGAATATTCCCTGCAGGGTGCTCCAGACTTGTAAAAGCTTCAGAGAGGAGCCAAAATGTTGTCTCCACTAACCTGTTTTAAATAAAGACTACTTTTTAGAAGAAACCTCAGATGTGCCTGGATATTTCTTTTTTTTCCATCTGCTAGTGTTTGTGTCCACATTTAGAATCTGTCACAAAATCCAACAGCGCCCTTGCCAAGTTTAAGCTCTGCATGCACCCCTAGTGTGGCACAGCCTGGTGTCCCATTTTGACACCCAGATGTTTTTTACACATCTGAGATGCTGAATTTAATGTTCACTGATTTAAGGTAATGTTAATGGATAACATGGAGAGTAGTACTCTTAAAGAACATATTTAAAGCTCCCCATAACCATTTGATTGGTCTTGAATCTTGGGAAAAGTTCACAAACATCCCGAGAGTCACAATTAAGCCATTAGGGAGAAAATGTATTCAGAGTTTTGGGTTTGTTGTCTTAGTCTTTACGTTGGGTGGAATCATATAAGGCATCAAATAATCATTTGTAAAATCACAGAAAATTGGCTGTCACTATGCCTAAAGTAGCAATTAACAGGTTGTACTTGTACTGCTTTGCTGCTGGTATCCCACGTTGACCTGTGCTAAAAGCTTTTTATTTCATTACCTTATGAATGGCTCGTAACATAATGTTTTGAAAAATACAAGGCTGTACATTGCGTATCAGTGGAAATAAAAATGTACTGTATATACATATACCCAGAATCCTTTGCAGTAGTAACATCACTGCAGGTTTGTGATTTCTGTGGGAAAAGCAAGTCTTATGGCTTGACTGGTGTGTAGATTTTGGTTTAACATTGTATTAACTATCCACAGACTTCAGGTGGAAGGGGTTTTCTATCACAATTTTTTCCCCACCATAACCTTTTCTTTTTGGTTTTTGCTTCCCAAGCACTACCAAGCCTCAATAAGCAAACCAGTAACCAACCTCATGCTGATGATTTGCATTAACAATGAAACAGCTGTCCATGAGTGGTTCACTGGCTTTGCATCTTTTCCCAAGTTGTGTTTCAAAGCTGTTGTATACAACAAACACAGACTCAAAGGAATCCATGTTTAAAATTGAATGAGGAAAAAATGTGATGCTTTGTTAAACTAATTTGCATATAGCCACCCAGAATCCTTTGTGGTAGTAGCATCACTGCAGATTTGTGATTGCTGTTTTTTTTTTGTTTAACATTATATTAACTATCGAAAAGAAAGACACAGCACTTAACTACAAGCACAAGTACCAATATATCATAGACACAATGTTCATGTACTAGAGCCGGGATGGGCAACCTTCAGCACTCCAGATGTTTTGGACTACATCTCCCATAATGCTCTTACACCCATAATGCTGGCAAAGCATCATGGGAGGTGTAGTCCAAAACATCTGGAGTGTTGAAGGTTGCCTATGCCTGTACTAGAGTGTCAGACATGTTAGAAACACAGTAGCAGAAGATACAGTATCTCTTAGGGTTATCAAATGTGCAAAATGGTAGGAGGTGTTCATCCACTGCCCAAAACCCAAATCAATCTCCTTAGCCCTCAAAGAGGTGATAGACCAGTTGAGAGAGAGCCAGGGTAAAGCATACAGGAAAGAAGACAGAGGAAGTAGAGTTAGATGGTGCAAAGTTAGGTCAGGTAGAGTGAAAGAGTCAATCAGATGGAGATGAAGTGTGAGAATAAGTTGAAGGGAGGTCGAGACAAGGAAGAGCACCACTACCAGCAGCTTATGGTCATACCCACAGGACTTGGGGAAAAAATAATCAGCATTCCAGTTCACCCCTCCCACGTCCACCCCCCCAAACTCCACTGACCAATCAGGCAGCCACTGAAACCACATGTTAACATAGCGTTGGTTATTGTCCACTGCTGCAAGTATAAGCTGCTCACATGAGCCGATTTCCTTCACTCTAAGAATCCAGTCTTGTATGATGGGCACTTCTGTCCACTTCCAGCAGGTGGGTATAAGACTACAGGGGTTTATCAAGTGGGAAAGAACAGATCTTTGAAAAAAATCAGATGGAAAAAAAGATTAAAATGGAACAGGTAGGTTTCTTCATCAAATGGTAGTCGGGTGTCTGTCAGCTAGAAAACAACTGTGTAGATAGCATTCCAGAATGATCTGATCACAAGACACTTCCACCAAATATAGATGAGAATGCCAAGTGCTCTCCCACAGCACCAACACTCTGGTTCTGTGAGTAAGCTTCTCAGTGTATGAAACCAGTGAATAAGTAATTTATATCCCAATGGTAGCGGGTACAAATACAGGACTTATGAGTCTGGAGGAATATCCGTTCCGATTGGGAATCATCAAATGTTTTGTAGAAAGGCCTTTATCCAGTCCTTGGTATTTGTACATCTTTGCATGTTCCTTCTTTTTAATGTTAAAGTTACTGGGTAGAAACCTTTTTTTTTTTTTTATGACGGACTCCAAACATGTAAAGCATTTCAGCATGGGCCTTAAATGAGTGTTTAAGGCTCATGGAGCAGTTGTGATAATATTCTGACAATCATTAAATAATATTAAAGTTAATTCCTTCACTACTGATAATTGAAAAAAAATATTAGCATGATATTTATTTGACGCAAGGGATACAAAGCTAGCATACAAACATTATAACAGAAATGCTGTGTATAGATCTCTTGACAAAAATGAAACCCAAAATAATTTTATTAAAAAAGTTTGTCTTTTTCCATTGCTAGTAGAAACAACTTATAATACATTTACATCAAAGAGGGCGTGATAATTGGTTTCTACTGATCATGTTTTGCCCGTACTGTTTTGTCAACACTTGTAAATCACTTCAGACATCCTGACAGTTAAATTGCAAAATATCTTAGAAAGATGCACAATTTGAAGTTTTGAAATAAACATGTTATTTGTTTCCTATGACATTCCAGCAGTGTTTACAATTTGGATTTTATAGAACCTTTAAATAACTAATTTGAATGTGATGAGTCTCAACTACAAAGAGTAACAATTACTATGCTTTACACCCCATTCACTGTTTTAGTTGATGCAAAAGGTTTCAATAAGGGATGGCCGTGCAACAACATGTAATTAACTTGATTGCATTATAAAGTATTGCATAAATTATAACTAATTATGGCTAATGGTATTCATGTCTTCAGCTAAAATTAATCTATTGATGAAAAGTACATTGAAGACAAAGAGCGTGTGAAGTGAAATTTCATCAATATATCAGTTTCAGACAGACTTCCCCTCCCCACACACATTGGTTTAACCTTTTAATAGTTTACCAATGTTTTGGTAAGAAAAGCTTCATATACAGGTAACTGACACTAACTAAAAGTCAATGTTTAATCCTCATGTACAAGATAGCAATAGATGCTAATTTGTTGCCAATGTGGTTCTGGATGTAATGCAGGATTTCTTCATATTTCAGTGACTGTCTTTGTAGAGTAGGTCCTCATTTTCAATTATTTCTTTGACATGAATCTTTTAGCAAAATAAGCATTTAGAAGCAGGATAAGCATCATAACAACATGCTATTTCCAAACTGTTTGGATAAAACTGGAGGTCCCCGAGGCAATCATGGTCTGGGCCCATCTTTAACTATTCATATATAGTTGTTTTTTATAAAGTATAAACAAGAACTTGAGAACTGCATACAGTCAAATCCATCACTAGGACTGGAACCAGGTTAAATGCAAACACTATTAAATAAATAAATGGTATTACCTTGGCCACTTAGAAATAAAATGGACAGGCTACATTAGAAGAGGAAAATGGTCCTAAACTACAGTCAAATGTAGAAGCCTGCTTGACTATAATAAATAGAACCTGGGTTATTGGAGAAATGCCAATAATCTACATTACCAGCCCTCTTTAACTAGTCTATAGTCTCAGAAAGATAATAGGAAACAGATAGACTGGGTGGAAAACCATGTGCTAAACGTTTATAGTGAAAACAGTGCCCAACATGCACTTATTGCAAAACCAAAGTCAATCTGTCTAGTTACGTATTTTCCAAAGTTACATATTAGTAAAAGAGGGCTGGTAATAAAGGTTGTTGTAATTTCTAAGTTCTAACTCTGTTCACCTGTGAAAAACTATCCTCCTTGTTTGTATGAGCAGCACTATGTGTTGTGTTTTCTTAACAAGTATTCACATTTCACAAATGTACCTCCGTGGAGTTATCTCAGTGGCCAAGGTGTTGATAAAGTCATGAATGAGACTCTGCACTAGAGGTACTTACTGCATAGCATACATTACACTTATTATTATATAGAGTTTGAGAAATAGGTATAATTGTAAGACACATGTGGGCGTGGGAATTTTACACATAATTTGTTTCATTATTGTACCCAATTGCATACTATTTTCTTTAGGCTTGACAATACACGTGACTCCTATTTACTAGTATAATTTTTTTTTGCCATATTTTTCAGTCATTCATTGACTGAACAGGTTAGTAGTCTAACTGGTTATGATGCCTACACATTACATTACATTACATTACATTACATGCATTTTGCATTTAAATCTGCTGGGTGTGCAACATTTGAGAGATAGTTTTTTTTTGGTTTTTTTTAAAACAAAATACAAATCCCTTAACTAAGTAACAGAGTAATTTGTTGGGGCCAAACCGGAAAATCTAATTTTGTTCATAATATTTAATTAAAAATTGTATATCTGATTTTTTTTTTAGATGTCTAGACAATGATTGCTTTAATAATATTATAGTCTCATTTTTTCTTGTTCTCAATTGAAAAATCATTACATTTAACCAGTAATTGTAATGTTAAATGTTGGTCTACAGTAAGACTAAAACTATTAGGTGAATGTAAATGTAAAAACCTCAGCTGTATATGTAAAGTATAATATGAAAAAATTTTGTAAAACAACAAATTACATCTTAGGATATGAAGAGATAATTATACATGGGTTATTAGTTTTAAATATTAAAGGCCAATTGGAAAATAATCTTATCAATGTCAGATCATTTAGAGTTTTAAAAAGGGTAAAAAATCAATAGTATACACATTATTTTAAATGTGATATCTGGTGGCATTCACAATTATATACGTAACAGATTATATTTAAAGAAAAATATGCTATAGGGTAAAATGATTAATTAGTTTTATTGCATTATATAGCTAATTTACAAAACATAATGCAAAATAAAAAAGTAAACTGTGTGCTGTGTATTTGTGGATTTTAAGAGTTTTTTCGTATAGAAACCGAATCTCGTGAGTGTAGTGAGGAGACTGATTGTTTTTGTGTGTGTTTTTTTTTTTTTTTACCTCCCACCAATCTTTTGTCTTTTGGCAGGAGGAACGTATAATCCAAGGTGATCCAGTGGTCCCTCCTGGTGAGGGAGCAAATAGTCTGAACCTCTGTCATGCACTCCTTTGAGATCTCTGTGCTCAGTTATTAATTCTGAGTGCTGGCTGTTAAACTCTGAATCATTGAATGTTGAGACCTTGAGGGAGCTCTTAAAGTGATATGCACTTAACTAAAGTGCATATCATATGCCCCTACAATGTAGAGGGGGGTGCAGGGCTGAACAGATAGATCTTTTGAAGCAGTGTACCCATCAACTATCAGAGCCAATGCTCTAGGCACTGAGAGTGGCCCACCAGATCCCTGTCTAAGCCTGGGGGCCCTAGGCCACCACCTATTTCATAATCCAACTGTAGAAGTGCAAGAGAAAGTAAAAAGGTAATATGACAGACCATTGAAAAGCTAAAACATACAATTCACTCCAGTGAATTAGAACTTGGATAGCTGTGGCTCATAGATTTCATTCAGCTTGTGATCAAGTCATGGTGTCTAGCTGTCAAATGTTCCATTTCATTGATATACATGTTTTTATATATTAGGTATAAGGTCGATACAAGATCAGGCTGAAGAGGGAAACAGAGAGGTTTTTAAAATAAATTAATATTAATAAGAACTCTAATAATGAGCTATATCAAAAACTCGGTTTGTGAAAAAAATCATTTTTGTCGCTATAAAGTTGAAATTTCTCTATGTAACAGATAAAAACACTGAATAAGGTCATCAGTTAGTTTCTAATACTATGATCTGATCAGAGAGTTATTGCCGTTTAAAATGAGCACATTAAGATGAATCTAGATAACAGATATTGAGGACAATGTTGGTTTTAAAAGCTTTAGAAGTATACAAATAGAATATATCTACTGTAAAAGGGGCAGGAAAGATGTTAAGAGCTGGGAAATGGTATGCTAACCAATAACTGGAGTCTAGTCACTTTATTTTGCCTCAAAGCAGACATACAGCAACAGGAAAACCTAAGGAACAAGGTGTCCTATACACAGGAAAGATAATGTATTACTGGTCCTTACAGTGGCCTAATGTGGGATATTATATAGACAATAGAGTAAACAAGGAGAGCCCGAGGTCAAGGGGTAAAGATATATGGGTAAGACAGATAACAAAACTAAGGTCTAGGATTCCAGAGATCAGTGTAGTCAAGTCAATCATCGGAAAAACACCAGATAACAATATTACCCTCTTGGGTAACTGAGATTGTACTATGGCAAGAAGGATTGATCAGAGTGGTCAATAGTGGCTTGCATCAATTATGAACCAAAAAGGTATGAGACCAATGTCACTGAATGGTTGCAGACTTGTGAGATATATAATAAAAAATTAAGTGAGCATTGGGGTACCTACAAGGGGTTTAAGGAGAAGCAGTCTAAGTAGAAAAAGATGCCAGAATGAATCCCACCATTAACATGAGCATGGTAGAGTCCAGAAGGTGCAGGAGACATGACAATTTGTAGCTAAGTGTAGTCACATGGCTTGTTTCTCATGATATTGTTGCTACTTTTTACCAACCAGATGTTAAAGTGCCTGTTGCTATTGAGAGCATGTAGTAACTCTTTAAATTTCACTATTAGCAACCAAAATTAATGGCTGTCTCTGCTTAGCGCAAGTTGCTAATGCTACTTAGCAACACTTTTCTGACTGGTTTCCAGTCCTGTTGCTACCGTTCCACATCTGCCAATAACTTTCAAAATTTAACTTCAACCTCTTGACTGCTGCCAAGATCATAACCACAGCTAACTCCCTATAAATCCAATAGGAAAATTATATGTTCGCTATATTTTGATGTTATCACAGTAAGCCAGTAAAAATGTGATATAATTGAAAACTAACTACTAACTTCCATCTGTTACACATAGATACAAGGTCAAGGTTGAAAATGCTCCTCTAGTTGGCCATATCGATTAGACAATGAAAACCCAAGTTCTGCCTGGACCATATTATACTTTCTAACTTTAATCTGACAGATATGAATTACCTTGACAAAGCTTGCCTTAAAGTATTAAAACTTCATAGCTAGATCTCTACCACAAAAAAAGGAAAATTATTCAGTCCATATAGGTAAAGGAAAAAGAGCCTTATATTCTTATTTGACATCATGGCTGAGAAATGTAGCGGAATGAACTGTATCAACTCACATATTTAATGGGACTTCATTTTATGCTTTAGTGAGAAATACAAAAATTGTTTCTTAAAGAAACAATCTTATAAGAATGGAAAATTCATGAAAAATACAAAGATTCATGTGAAGAGAGGTAACAAAATTATCACTTACCAAGACTGAGATTACATTAAATGCAAACTAAATCACATATGACATTAATTTAGTTTATTTAGTGTATGTCGTGAATTTATGGAAAATTATTCCCAATAAATTATTGCAAATGAAACCTTGTTTAAACATCATGGAAATAGTTTATGGTTCATTTCTTGCTAATCTGAACCCTTTTTGATGAGTCCATAACATGACTCAATGCCTCCATAACATCCTCCTTCATCATTTTCAAAACTAGTAATTATTCTAAATAATAATTAAAAAAAAAGCTTATTGAGACACAAACTTAAAGCTTTTGATGGATTTGAGATATGACTAATACACTCTATAATGCATAGTTTAGAAAAAGCTGTGGCATAAAAATGCGACCATAAAGTGATCAGGCTTGTTTATATAAATTACCACATGATACAAATTGAATTTGAAAAATGGTAGATCGCTCGTCAAGGTTTTGATGAATAAATGAATGGATGAATAATTGCCTAGTCTTGACGGGAAAAAAATCTTTCATGAAACAAACTACAAAAGCCAAATGTCAAATGGGAATAGAATTTATTTCCAAAGGCATGTTAGACTGAAATATTAACAAAATCCTACTTCATTGCTGGTACATAGAACAATTCATTGAGGTTATTTGATTTTATATTTTATACTGTTTATAAGCCTGCGGTTTTATACAAAGGCATGACCTAATATAGAATGACCTTGTTTTACTTTTTTTTTCTTCTATGTTGACGTTTAAAGAAAAAACTCATATGATTCAACTATAATCAGAAATTATTTTTGTTTAAGGTACTTGGAAAAGCACAAACTGTAGATAATATAGCGTTCAAAATAAAACTTGTTTTGATAATATTGTTCATCAACTTAAATTGTAATATTATTAATGAAGTGAGTAGCTTAGCGAAACACATAATTAAAAACAAATATAAATCAAACAAGACTTTTTTTTAATTAGCATTGACAGTGTCTTTACAATTAGGTGAATTCGTAAACAGAATAAATATTATTTAGGGCAAACATTTTGATATTCTCTTAATGAGTAACATCAACTACTATGCAAATTATCGTTTGTATGAAGCAACAAGACAGACAGACTGTCCCGATATATCGCTGTTCCATTAGTTTATTTTATATACAATGGCATCTATATTTCTTTTCTTTAAACAAAGATATTATTAATCCCTTAACTACCACTTATGTATTTGGGAGAAAAAAAATCATAAAATCAAATTTATTTTAAAAATCTCTTAATAACAAGTATTTTAATTTGTTATCAAATGTATCTTTTATTGAAAATGTAGGATTATATGAAACAAGGGATACTTCTCTAGCAAATATATATACAGTGGATAAAATAGATCCAATGGATAAAATAGTGGATAGAATAGAAGTATAGGTTGCTGTTTAGAGAAAACTAAAAATAGGAATATTAGTGGCATTTTTTATATCTATTTCTTTATTGTTATGATCTGCCTGCACAGTACTATGCTTTAACAAAAGAAAGATGGGCACACCCGGTTGATAGCCATTAACGATGGACTAAGAAAACTAATATACATCAGGGTGCTCACTTCAAAAGCTCCATTTCCAAAGAGCTAATAATATAATCATATAATAATGAAAGGAGGAGCACAACCAATAAAATTTTTTTGATATACTCTTACTGAGTAACATCAACTACTATGCAAATTATCGTTTGTATGAAGCAACAAGACAGACAGACTGTCCCGATAGATCGCTGTTCCATTCGTTTATTTTATATCCAATTTATCAAGGGCGGATAGCGCCAAAACGTTGGGGGCGATTTTGTATTTGACGTCTTCACCCTCTTCTCATGTTCCATGATAGGGGCTGTGGTTGGTATGTATTTTTTTGGTTCACTATCTTACACAGGTATCATAACATTGATGTTGTGTATCAGTGGTTATACCACTTAATGTGGATTATTTAGACCTGCATTTTCCTATTTTTTCTTTGGTCCCAGTCATTGTTTACATATTGGGTAGATATGTTTAAGTATATTGTTATTCTATATTGTCCTTGTTGATACCTGTTATATGTGAGCCTGTACAATAAAGTTTTTTGCATTTTTATTAGTTGTGCTCCTCCTTTCATTATTATATGCACAGTACTATGTTAACATATGGAGGGGCTGATTTTTATTTAGTTCCAGAAGAATTGTGCATTATTTTTGTTATGCTATGAAGCTGGGTGGCCTCATATTTTGTCCTGATACATCCAGGCATTATAAGGGATAATAATTTCCTCTGAAGTGAATTAATTTTTATTTAATTATTTGCCATAAATGCATGTGCCTTTGAGAGTTATTTTTATTTTTTTTCTCCTCTAAACTTACTAATATAAAAAATGTTAAACTAACAGATGCCCCATCAGTCAAGGCAGAACATTTTGGACCGTTGTTTTACCATCATGTCAACTAGCCACAGGTTAGCAACTTTCAGTCAAGGTTCAAAACAAGAGTGACACACAACTTTAACATTGAGCTTAATGCAACCCTGCTAGTCTTGACCAACACACATTAACATGAACAAAACAGATGCAATGAAAGCTAGCTCTAGAAACCCAGGTAAAGTTCATGGAAAGTCTAAATCTAAGCTGTCAGACAGTCCTCAGGCAGCTTCTGAAGCTAAATTTTTGTAGCCAAACAACAGATGGAAGGATACTTGAAGGGCCATGTGTTTAAACAGCAACAGCGTCATTCTAGAGTATAGGGACATAAATATTCAATCGAAGAGGGTGTGTACGCCCTAGAAACGTCAATGATTAAACTAGGTTAATCTTTTGCATTACGTCTGGAGCCGCCATGGAATATTTGTGATGTTATTTATGCACATAGGTTGGCAGTAACAGTGTCCATATGGGTGCACAGCATTGTTAGCATGTGCTTGTACTAAAGAGAGATATTTCAGGTAGGAAGCAGGATATAATTATATGAGTGCACCTGTCAGTTAAATTCCTAAAAATAGACAAATTAACGTATTAGTGGATATGTTCCAAAGAGTCAGTTGCATCAATAAATGATTACTTTAAACGTTAGTGGAAAGACCATGTGGCAGAAAACATACACTCCACTGGTTCTGCCATGTTTAGATCCCTAGTTTTTAATTTAAACTATCAGATTAAAAGGGAACTAATAATTCCTATGATTTTTAATTGTAGCTTTATTTATCCTGTATTATTAACATATATTCATTTTTTTAATGCCTGAAAATCTAAATTAAATGTAGAAAACAAAACTGGTGTATTTACCATTGTCCTGGAACTGAGCACGTCCATCTTGGCTCCAAGTAGATCTTTGCTATGAGCTCTGCCTTTTACACCTGGCAATCCGTATGACAAGATATTAGAGAAGGTAATACTGTGTGTGTCCTGTCCTAACATTTTTGGGGATTTATTTGGTTTAAAAAAGATTTGGCAGTGAAAAGGTTATGTAAATAGATTAGTTCACCCATATACGGTATCTTAATATAGAACTTTCACTATGTCTCAGTTATTTTACTTATATCTATATCATAAATCTGTAAATAAAATGTAATATACACTTTCATATAATATGGTGCATTTCAATATATTATCGCATATCCTCTATGTGTCTTAAAAGATGAACTATGTAGATCAGAGGAGATTTAGGTTACACTATCAATTTGCAATGCTGCACGGTAATTCTTTGAATATTGGCTAGGAGAGCAAGACATTATCCCTCCTAGAACACACAGAGTTAATGTACGTTTTATCTTTCCCATGTTCCGAGAGAATACACAGTTAGAAATCAATTCCAGGATATTTGTTCAAGACTGGAATATATAGTCACTTTGCTGGAACCTCTGTTTTTTTTTGTTAGATGGAAAAGCTAAGTTCTAAATAAATTCTAGCAACAAGCATTAAATGAGCTCCAATGCCTGCTAGTTGTTCACTGTGTCCATTCATGAACGAGATGGCTTAGTGATGTCTTCAGCTTGACTGCTTTACTCGGCTCTAATGGTCAAAATCACAAACTATCAATCAGAATCAATATTTCAGTAGAATTGGTTTTTAAAACACTATTCTGTTTAGTGGATGTCAAACAAATCAAGCAGACACTCCAAGGATTGCCTTTCATTGGCTTTGTGTAAGGAACATCAGAAGGGCAGTAGTCCAGATCAGCTGCCTAAAATGGTTGTGATGCCAGAAGGTCAGGGGGGAATGGGGAGGGTGTTCTGCATTTCTCTTTGTACATTTTCAAAAGGTTGCGAAAATAGCTCAGCTTTGATATTATTTGCTGCAATTTAAATTGTCCTTTATGAAACAAACTATTTGCTTTTTATCGTACTGGTTTTTCGCAAAGCAATGATGCAGCCGCACATTTGTTTTTGTTTTCCGTTTTTTTATATTTCTTCTTTTTTTTTTTGCTGTTGCTGTCTGTCCATTGAAGTGGGAAGAGATAAATTGCCAAGTACTGATGTTCTTCTCTCTCCAATTTTAACCAGTGTGACTTGGCTCCCAGCCGTCTGTTGCTCCAGTGATGAAAAACAATGCACAGCAATTCATGCAGTGAATGCCTTCCATTTTAAATACCAGTAACACCCCCTTGCGAACCAGTGTGTATGCTATCAATGACAGCCTCAGGAACAAAGCTAATTAAGGCAAACCAACCAGTGAATGCAACATGGATAATTAGTCCTCAAAAGGTCAAACAGGATCAGAATTTTCAGATTTACCTGCAAAATGGAAGCAGGGAACATAATAATTAACATTTTTGATAAAAGAAAGATCCATTTTAGAGTTTCCATACAAAAAAAGTCATAAGGAAAGCAAAGGGAGGTCATTATTTAGCAACCAGCTTCAGCATTACTAAACAATGCTTACTGTAAAAGGCAATGGAGTTTTACTTTAAAATGGAAAATATGCAGAACAGACAACAGAATTGCAAGTTTTAATCCAAAATAGATAAATTGAAAAAAATAAAAAAATCTGCTTTTTTCAGCTAAATGATTTAGCCACAAGTGCCTTGTTACGTCTGCACAATTATCATTTTAGTGAATTAATTTATGCCTTGTTATCATGATCCAATTATTATATTTTACAACATATATAAGATAAATATACTAGCTGTGCACACAGACAAAGCTGTGAATTTGGTTTAACTGACAACCAGGATTCAAAAGAAAGTCCCAAATAGCCTGGATTTTAAATACTTGAGTTGATAATGTCTGCAATTTTGATCATACATATAGAATGCGTGAATTATCTTAATAAAAACCCAAAATGTTGAATTGAAAACTTGACTACAACATTTGAGATAAAATAGCCATTTGTGACTATGGCTAAATTTGATAATTTTTCTAAATACACATTTTTTTGCCTTTATTTTGCAATTTGGTAATTCATTTACTACAAATTGGTGTTTTATGAACACAACCCTGTATATACGATATTAGTGTTACTTGCAAAGTTCCCCTGTGTATCTGTAGCAATATAAACATTATCTACCGTTTTTTCATAATTTAGTAAATACCAAAACAATGCAATTCGAATGTTAAGCTGGGTCTCGGTGCCTGACCCATTTAGAAAGCTGGTTTATGTAAGGAAATAGCTGTTACAATAATCTGCATTTTAATTTAGCATGGATGTTTGCAACCCTTCAATTTCTTTTAATTAATACTTATAGCAGGTTACTTGTAGTAACAGCAGCAATAAGAACAGGTAATATTGCACTAATTCATACATAAAAGTTTTAAAATCAAACCAATGATATGTTAGTTTAAAGGGACACTCTAAGCAGCCAAACCACAGCATGTTAATATCGTGGTTTTGATGTATAGACCCTTCCCCATTTCTCTGCTACATGCAAATAAGCTTGCTTTTGTAAGGCTTTTGATTGTAGGGGTTTGTATGTATGTAGTGTTGGTATTTGAATGCAGGTGTGGATTTGCGTGTAATGTTTTTGCATGCAGGTGTGTGTTTATATATAATGTTGGTGTTTTAATACAGAGGTGTGTTTGTATGTAGTGTTGACGTTTGAATGCATGGGTGTATGTGTGTACTGTTGGCGTTTGAATGCTTTGATGTATGCACATATATACATACACTGTCATGCACACACACTGATAAACATATACATGCTCTGACTCATAAAGATACACAGACACAGATACACAAACTAACACATGCAAATACAAGGATACAAAAACTGACATACATACATACATGTACACATACACACAAATACAAATACTGCACAAATTAAAATCCAAAGCCACACAGAAACAAAAACATACTCTGATGCACACACTGATGCAGATACACAGGCATTCAGATACACACACTGACACACATACAGATACAGACAAACAATGTGTGTCTTTTAGGTACAGAACGGTAGCTTCTGCTGGCTGGGGCTATTGGGAGTCAGTTTGCACCCCTTTTGTCCCCCCACATGGTTCCATGTATGTTAGTTTGGATGAGATAACCTGCACTCCCTTCCTCTCTGCACTGGAAACCAATGTTAGAAAAGCCTGGTTTTGCTATTAGAGGACAGCAGTGCACAACCGGACCCCTAAGTGCAAGGGCCATGAGATGGGCCATCTCAGTGTGCAGGCCCTGATGCAGCTACATTAGGGGACGTTCCACTGCTGGGTTTAGGCACAATGATCATTGCACAAGTGACATAAGTCACCAATGTATCTTGGTCACCAATGCTTGGACAAAGATTACCAGTGCTGATGCTTTCAAGGAAAGTGGAGTTGTTGCAGAAAGGAATCTGTTCCTTTAAGATAAGTTTTAGGGCCTTTTGTGTAATTGTAAAAGGGAAAGGAGACCCTTAAACTCAGAGTATAAAGGGAGATGCACAGTTTTAGAACAATGTTACTTAAAGAAGCATTAAATGTAGTTTAAATGCAGTTAAAGAGGAAAACTAAGCACTCGATTGATGCAATATTTAGGTATGTTACAATTACTAGCTGTTACTTACCTTAATTATACATATATGTATATATAATTTTTGATTAATACTCTTCTTCTTTCCTCCTGATCATTCCCCATAATAACATATTCTCGGTGTAAACATAACAGCAATGTGTGCATGCTCATAGATTAGCTGAAGGTCATGTTTCCTAAAGATATGTGTAGACACAATCTCCCCTTGTGAGCTATATTTTAAGTGAAACATTTTGTTCTTAGCTTTCACATTACCGTTTGCGTCAATCTTCTTTATACAATGCGACAGCGCCATTGATGCAAAGAATCAGCGCATGCAGTATGGGTCACAGTAACAGGCAAGAAAATAAAATAGCACAGATTGTTTTGTTTTTTTTAAGTTACAAGATGCCCGTTACATCAGCAATGACACTGAAAGCTTCATTATTACCAAGGTATTTCTATTAAAAAACACATAGAAAATAAAACAATGGTGAAGAGAGTATGAGGGCGTTATGTAGATCTCTGATACTGTGGATATTTTGCAGATTCCTTCTTATTTCTCATATATTAATAGCTTTGTTTTTTCACAGTGTTTATAGTTTAATTAAATTGAATAGATTTTTCTATATGTATAGCTCATGTACTCGGTTTAATTGTATCTTTGGTAGAAATATATTTTGTCATCCTCCTCCCCACCCCGAACTGTAAAATAAAATTAGATCTCCCTCCACACCACCCAATCTCCTTTTGTTAGGGAAATTTCACACAAATACTGACATTCATATACGCTACATATGCATATTATACTACATTCAAAGCACAGACACACAGATTGATATCCACACACAGAAACTCGTGCACAAACACATATGGATACATAAACACACATACAAGGTTATTCACCAAGGTGAGAATTTAAGGTGAATTCATGATGAATTTTACATTTAAGGTCAAATTAATGTTTGGCTACCCTGGCCTTATGTTTGAAATTCACATTGAATTCCCTTTGAATTCTGACTTTAGTTTCTAACCATGACAGACTCACACATACGCAGACACACTCTTTTAATAAATAAAAGAATAGTTTACCTAGCCTCCCTGTTCTTTCCTTGACAAGGAGAACTGGAGTGGAACCTCATCACTGGTGCCCAGTGGTTTGCTGCTGCTGATTGGATTGTCTCTGTGTACTGTTGTCTCCGTGCTGCTCTGTACTGTTGCTGGGGCTGGAATGTCCTATTTGCAGTAACAGTACAGGGCACTTGAGGAAGCTGGAAAATCAGTGCAGAGTGATCTCAGCAGCATTGCATTTAGCTCCAGGCTTATGGCAGAGAAGGCACCTGCAACATGGTGCCCCCATACACAATGTGCCGATAGGCAGGTGCCTTCTCTGGTTGGAGGGGTTTGCACTGTGTAATCCCTTTTACTTGTCACCCTAGGCAGACACTTCCCTCTTTAGTACTCCACTGCATGATTTCACATTGTTCATTAAAAACCATAACACACAATGTGTCTGACATTGAGATGTATGGGAACCCCCCTAATGCCATGGCTGCCCTTTGATATACGAGTCTTCCTGTCTCCAGATCTTTCTATAGTATTTTAGATGTCATGTTTTATAATAGTAAAAGTCGAATTGTGGCTGTGTCCCTGCTCTCTTATTAATGGTCTCATTTAAATGACGGAGCAGGAATGCCACTAGCCAATGGCAAACAGACAGCTGGACAGTGAGACTTGTTTTCCCATTATACTGGCAGCTGTGAGGGCATTGCTCCAGGTGACCAGTAGTGCTGACAATGCCTAGTGCATCTGAGCTACTCAGCTGACCCTCACAATTAAGTACAGCATATATTAGCAGTCACACATGAAAACACAATTGTATAAACAAAAAAAAGTATATAAAAAAAGTTTTAAAAAGTTATTATATTTTTTTTTAAATTGTGCTTTAACCACCTAAAATCCATATATATTGTGTTGCAGTGCTAATTAGTGAATAACAATGTGCATCAAGGATATCATTTGCAAGAAATAACTATTAAAAAAAAACCATCAAGGTTATTCATTAAATTTCAAATTGTAGCAAATTAAAATCTGTATGGCAAGATTTAGGCAAATATAATTAAATTGGATGCATTCTCACAATTAAACTATTGTCCCAGCTTGAAATTAATTTTGCAATTTGGACTTTAATTCATTGGAATGTAGGGTTCAGTGACTTACTCTATGTGTATTTTTAGATCAGCCAGTTGGATAAAACATTTCTAATTATTTTAATTTATCTGCATAGTTATGCCACACATAAACTACTAGCACTTGCTTACCCCTTCACTTCCAAGCATTTTATTTTCTATAAAATCTTAGCATAACATTTATTTAAAGCAAGGGGTGCATAGTTATCATATAATCATATGGTATACTATTTTGTGTATAGATTGCAATGACAATTATTAAAATATATACAGCTTTTATTAATTACTTATTCGTTCATGCCATTATATTAATATTTGAGAAATGAAAAGCTTTAGACAGTATACAGTGTTCTTTATCTCGCAATGCTTTATACAGGCTCTAAAATCTTAATACAAAATGTAAAAATGCTATTTTTTCTCACATACAGTAGGGTTGACAAAAATAGATAAATAAACATGGTCAAATACCATGCTTATAAATTGTTTGTAAGACCCTAAAGGCATTACTAGCATTGCAGCTTACTAAAATTGCAAACAGTATCTGGAATTCAGATGTAATGCTAACATCAAAATGGCAGAGTTCATTCACTCATCCTTCCTCCCTGACTGAAGGAATGTTGTGACCCATTTAAACTTCCTTTACTGGTTGGAAGCAGGAAGTGAGCTGGTTTCTTCAGCAATATTTGCAGCCATTAAGTCAGTGAATTTCTAGTAGAAATCCTCTACAGGCTAGTAGTCATTCCTAAGTATAAATGAGAGAGTGTAGATTTATGGACTATTTGTTTTACTGCAGAATACATGAAAGTTGAAACATTTATACTCATTTCTGGTAGTGAAGCGGTTAAAAGAGAGTGGTTAAGAATGAGCATGTACTAACTAGGTGTAACTAAATAATAAATGTTAAAATGAAAGACGTGTGAGAAAAAGGTGCAATAATGATCATTATGTGTAATTTTTTCATATTTGCATACTTCCTCTAGTTTTTTTTTTGCACTTTAATATTACAAGACTTCCTTACACTTACAGTCATGCATACCATCCAGTGTTTAAATTTATACATTTCCGATTACCTGACACATCATATTAAAAGTTTTATTTGAAAGATTTATTTCTCGAGATGTATAATTCTGTGAAAGCATTAGAAAAATCTTTTGTGCCTTGGGACATTAATTAAAAGAATTGATTGCTTTAAGATGCTATCCATATTGAGCAATAAGGAAAAGTATTTTAGCATTAACAAAATCAATTCCCAGGGATGCTTACTGTATACCAAATGACCTTTTACCGCACCCTAGTACACTTACATTACTAGGAGCATTAGCCGTTCAGTTGAGCTTTGGGCAAAAATTATAGTAATAAAATAGGAGAGTATTTTTGACTCACAAATGCATCAGTTCATACTAGATAAAAATGACTGAAAATTTGGAGGCAAGAAATTGTATTTGATATTGTATTTGATAAAGAGATGCAGTGGAATGTTATAAAATTAGGCCAATTAAAGAAAAGATCACCAACGTTTCTCATTAATGTTAATGATGTCCATTGCAGGTTGCAATGTAATAGATCTAATAAACCGTTAATCTATAATACAGAGAAACATTGTGTTGCATTTGTGTTTGACAAAGTTTCATGCTGCGAAGTCCAGATATGTCATTTAATTTACTTTTTTTTGCACATAACATAAATTTTTTTGTTGATACCACCATTGTGTAAATGATTAATAAATAGTAATGATTTCCCTTCCCCAACTCAGCAAAGTGGGACCCACCTGCATGACAGATGTTGATATATCAAGATCAATTGTACTAGCCTGTCTTAGATGTGATGGCATACCTAGACATAGGTAAATCCATCATGTTTTTCTGGGCACAGATTAATTATCTATATTGAATAAGTAGTACACACAAAATGTTGCCTTGCAGTATAATGAATTTAAGGTAAGAAATCAAGTCATTAATTATTGAATATTTCTGCAGCATATGATGCATACATATTGCAGGACAGTGCATTTGCCAACCCTTTTGAGGGATGCCATGTCTTCCATCTTTTTCTTTGACATCGACCAATGAAAATACATTTCATATGCAATAGGTGTTCTAGAACAGATCCTAGCCTAGTGGAGATACCTAGAACACTGACATTGCTTCTTGTAGCATACAAATACCACATACAGCAGAGCAACACTTTTTATGTGCGTCACAAGACCACAAAGTAGTGATATATGTCTAGGTAACTATAAGTCTAAACATTCTACTTATATCCAAGTTCCAGGTCAGTAAACAAAGCACACTCAGTCAGTATACCAGTAATGCATTAATCAGCAATAAAACAGATATCTTTACTCTGCTAAGGAAACTGTGTTATAGGGGAATAAAATTCAATTCAACCTACTAAGGGCGAGTAAAAGCGTCTTCTCTTTCAGGGACCACTAAACAAATGATGATCTTCTCTGCTTGACTTCTACGTTCCATACAGTCTTAATAATAAAAAAGCTTCTAAAGCATTAACCCGCCTGCCACTCCATGGTCAGATACTTAGTGAACTAATCCATTCTGGCACCAGAGCCAGGTTTGAGTGAATGTATACATCTGTATATTCCCTATAGTGACATTATCAACCAAGAATTTCATAGAGCAATGAGGTCACCACAAAGCCCGAGGCTAGCTCTTACATGATGGATTATTCACTAAACTCTAAACTGAAATCTGAATGGGAAAACATAGGGGGAAAAAAACTGATCTGGAAAAAAAATCTCCAATTTAGCTATAGCCACAGATTGCCAACTGCAGCCATTCAGATTTTAATTTCATTTTAATTTGCTGTTAAATGGGAATTGTCAATCTACATGTGTTATATTTTCAGTTTAGTTATTTAGGTCTAAGATTTCAGATTCGCTTTGAATTTCTAACAATACATTATTTAGTGAATAACCCTTTAAAAGTTTGAGGAATGTTTGCCTGAAAGCCTCTATAAACAAATATGTTTTTGTATATGAATGTGAGTGATATTCGTTTTTCTTGTCAACGTATGCTTGCAGCCATGTTAGAAATAGCAATGATTGTCTTATAAAACCTCTCGATAGAACAGAACCACGGGAACCTGTGTTCTGGATAGACTCAAAGGCTAGGACAAGTAAAAGAGACAAATATTGTTTAACCTTTGGCTTGATTATTATCATTATTTTTTTTAAATACATCATATATTGTACACTCTTTTATGGATGGACCATTCGTTTATTAGCTTGAGGATGGATTCAGGTATATAATTTATGTAGAGGTCTTTTAATAAAAACATGAGTTTGTCTATCTAGAATGGTGTCAAATTAAAGCTCACTAGTTTGTTTTATAATGCTATGATGATACTTGCGTTTTCGAGTAGGCATTTTGTTATAACATGTCATAACGGATTTATCTGCTAGGATGCAGTTGACTCTATTAAAGTATGGTTGCCACATTCACCGTGTTTCTCTGAGCACTTATATTATTTATACATATTGTCAGGCAGCACATGACAAGCATTGACCTGTGAAATGAAGAACACATCATTTGTCCAAAAAGCAAGATGACACTTTTCATGTGTTACCCATCAACATGAAGAGGCGATATATGTCCTGGAAGACATGGTGGATATGGCAACTTAATTTAGCCTAATTTAGGTATGAAACTAATTTTAGTTTATTTGTGCCATTACAGAGGGAACTGATACCTTTTGTACCATCAGATTAATCCTACATACTAGGGCAGGCAAAACAGAAATTCTAGCAGTTCCTCTCTGCTCAAAATGCCATCTATTTATTGTGTTTAATGCAAGTCTTGTCAATATACACATTTGTAGAAAATACAGTTTTAATTATTACCAGCTGTGTACTGGTGTGTGGACAGGTAAACCATTGCCAACACTGCCATCGTCTTTGGTCGGTCCCAAAAATAAAGTGTTTGAAAGTATGCAAATTGGCTACAGGAATATGTGAGAGTTCCTTATGTCTATTCTAGAGCCAGATTTACTCATATATCAATCATCTGGCTTCTCTAGCGTAATAATTAAATAAATGGCTAATTAAAAACTTGACTCACTTATGTTACACGTAGCAGTGTCACTTTAAATCTTGATAAGTTAGGGTTTTCATGAGGGACAGTGTTAAAAGCATTTAACTGCCGCAATTAGCAAATCACTACATAGAATCTTAATGAATTGAATGCTTTGTTAAAAATACAAGTTTGGCTTGTGGTTCCTAATGATAATAATTACTATACATTGTCTATGGAAATAAAGCATGTTTGCTCCATGCTTATGAGATTTTAATTGTGTGTCTACATCAAATGGTGCTGCCCATATAAATCTATGTGAGTTATAAACATTTTGTGGTCACAGACCTGAATATTTGTAGTGTCTGTGCATATGTGTGTATTGAGTGTGTGTGTTTATGACAATATCAGTGTGCATGTTTCTATGTTTCTATGTGTGTATGAGAGAGAGAGTATGTTTCTGCGTACATGCATGCTTGTTTGTATAAATAGCACTGTACCTAAATCGATTATGTGTTTATGGAATGGTGTTTTGCCCAGTGTCGAAAATTTAAATACAAGCAGACAAAGCTGATATATGCAGTCCAGAGCAATTTGTTGTTTACATATGTGAACCATTCTATAAAACAGAAGGATAGATGGATGCTAACCAGAAATATAAACAGAAAGAAAAACAGGCAGAAACAAAAACAGATAGATAAGCTCAAATCTTTTAAAAACCTTGCTAGTCAGAAAGTCTCTCTTCTTAACATTGAATTACCGATCGCCGATGCAGATGTTGTCCATCAGAAGAATGAAAGGCCATTACATAAGCAGGGAGGTGGAGCATATACATTTAATGCACATGGCTCTTTTCTTTTACTTTACCATTAATCTTTTAACTCCATAAACTGACAACACACAATTAGCAGCCGAGCACATCATTTCCAGCGGCTTCATTATGCAGATCTTATGCCATATGAGGTTACTGAGACTTCTTTTGGTTTTTTGACTCGTGTCTGCTTTATACCTCTATCTATCATAACCCAGCAAGCTCCTCCTAATTGTATAGTACTTCTGCAGCGTACATCTATCAATGCCAGAAAGCATGGAACTGGAAAGCACAATGGTTTTCCGGAGTGTGAGTTAAGCTGGCAGAGAATATAACAGCTCGACTAAATGTTGCAGCTAAATAAAGCAAACAAACAAAAATGTAACCGACTTTTCCTCTTCTGTGACAGCAGTTAGTCAGTATCTGGATGGATGGATGGATGGATGAATGGATGGATAGATGGATAGATGGATAGATGGATGGATGGATGGATGGATAGAAAGATAGATAGATAGATAGATAGATGTTATTTTTTAAACTGGGTGTTAACAAATATCAAAATTTGCAGCATATTTGTAGTAAAAACATCAAATGATATTTACTAAAGGCAGTTGTTAACATTTAAAAGACTAAATCTGCTTCCATCAGTTTGGAAACCAACACCAATCTGTGGAGGGGCAGCCTTTTATAGGAAATCGTGCCTTTTTCTATAAGAAAAATCATACAGTATAACTGATAGGTTACTGGTTACATATATATTTAGCTATTTATACCACCTTACCGTTTCATGTATAGATATAAAGGTTGCATACACACACATACATATATATATATGTAATTGATTGGTATGCTATAAAGAAAGATAACTAACTTCTTTAAAAAAATAATCTTTCTTAAACTGCAAAACATTTGATTTTAAAAGCTATACCGTCATAATTGGATGGAATTTTAGCCCTCTAATCTCTATCTAGATTTTATAGGGGGGATTTGCCCCCTTATCCTGCTTGCTTCCAATACCTATGTTTGCGACTGATAGTTTGTCTTTAGTAAATAACCTGCAGAAAGAAAAACTGTGCGTGCGATCAAACAAAATCTCTTTGATATGTCCAAAACATCATATTCAAAATGTGTCTTAGCTCACACACCATGAGTGAGAAACTGCAGTATTATCTCAATATCAGACATAACTGTACTAAACCTTAGCGTGTTTCAGTATTATATTTAATGTTTATCGTCAATAGTTTTGCCAGATTATTGTTTCCACTGAATTATAATTGGCCATGAAAATTAGTCTTTGTTGGTGTGTGTGATATACAACGCTGTATTTTTGCACAAGTTAATTTATTTTCACCAGTTGGCGGGGATAGCGTGTCTTTGAAAGGAAATACCTCATGGAATAGACACTAATAAATACCTTCACAGAAAGATAACAAAGACAATGTGAAGTAGCAAAGAACATCAGATCAATAGCTGCCTTTCCAAGCATTTAAACTGCAAATATGTGAACTGATTAGGGCAGCAATATAGCAGATAAAACTGTAACCACATATATACCTTTAATTGATCCTCCATCAAAGGATGCTACAGATTGTAGATGCACATGCAATATTTCTTAAATACATATTTTATATTAAATTAAATGCCCATGCAGAAACAAACATATGGGTATATATTTACACACACTGTCACGAAAAAAGTAAACTATTCTTCATTATTTTTTTTAGTAATTTACTGTATATAATAAGCTGATAAAAATAGTAAGCAATTAAACATTTTTCAAATATGTGATTCTAGAGGAGGCAAATCAAACAAATCATAAAGTTCAGTGTCTTAAATAGAAGTCTTACATAAAATAAATAATAAGGATTATTCATTCAAAACACCAAACTGGTGATTTAAAAACTGAATTGCAAAAACTTATAGAGATATTCACTAAAGGGAGAATTGCAGGGGATTCAAAGTGAATTGAAAATGAATTTCAAATTGAAGGCCAAAGTAGTCAGTCTGCAAGCATAACTGACTGGGAGACATTTTCTGGTTCAACTATTTTAACATTAACCCCTTAAGGACAAAACTTCTGGAATAAAAGGGAATCATGGCATGTCACACATGCACTGTAGAGACAAGACTAGAGCCCAACTGAGCTCCTCTCCCTCCCACTCTGCAATGAAAGCAATAAAGTCTCCTCCAGCCCCTGTCAGTCAACCTGTTACCCGCTGTTAGCCTCTTCCCTGTTAGTCCCTGTCAGCCAACATCATTACCCACTGTTAACCCATTCTCCTCCAGACCCTGTCAGCCAACCTCCCCTGTCAGCTACTTCCCTGCCAGTCTCTGATTGGTTAACTACTTCCCTGCCAGTCTCTGATTGGTAGATAGATGGATAGACAGACAGATAGATAGATAAATAGACAGATAGATAGATAGATAGACAGATAGATAGATAGATAGATAGATAGATAGATAACAAAGCTCTATAGGAATTTATTAGTTTGTCTGTCTCTTTATATTTATTTATTTATAAGAAACATATGAAACTATATGTTGCCTAATCTGATGAGGAAATGTGTGTGTGTGATGTGGTATGTAGGTTCTAGTGTCTGAATGCTGTGTTTGTAGTGTAACTTAGGTTGAATACTTCTTAGGCAGGCATCTGTGGAGTGATATAAATTGTATCACTAAGCTCCGACATACCCACATAGACGTGTCATTACTGATTCTCATAGAGAATCACTGCAGTGTGACCATTGGTGGACAGGCATTGTGGGCGTGTCATTACTGATTCTCATAGAGAACCACTGGAGTCTGACCATTCATGGACAGTTTGGCTAAAATACAGGAAGCAGGGAAACAGCAAAGGGGGGAATTACATGCAATCACAGGAGGAGCAGAAGATTTGATAAAATTTAAAATCAATCAAGGTACTTCTAAAGCTCACTTTTACATTATTTAGTGATAGAAGGTTTACTGTTGGGGAGGAATAAAAGGATGTGATTTTTTTTTTTACCTATACCGTTCATTTAAATTTTAAATTGAGTTTGAATTCACTTTGCATTCCCTGCAATGAAAACACGTTAGTGAATAACACTGTTAGGCTACACATCCTGAGTAGGTAAGCTGCATCTGTCGCTGAGCTTGATAATTCAGCAATTTTGTCTACATTTTGCAATTACGTTGACATTTCACTACAATTCGGTGCTTAGTGAGTAAGTCCTAGATTCTAAGACTAAGGCGATTAAAATCTTCTTGACATGTGCAACTTTGTTTTACTCTGTGTTGCAGAGATACTACAATTTACATTTCAACTGCTGTACATATACAATTTTACGCATGGATGTCAAAACTAGCTATCCAACACTAATGTCATGATTAATCCAGGTGTCTGAGTGCTCTATAGTAGATCTGGGTACAAATGTAAAAACAACAGACACATTCGTGTAAACACAGGTTCATTCATGGATATTTTACGGGTCTTTTAACAAAAGATATTGCTCACATTTGTGTTTGTATAAATTATTTAAACCTTAGAACGGTAATTTTGGAAAACAAAATCCTTTTCCTTGAAATAACGTTTAAAAGACATGTGTGATGTGTATGTTATATATATATTTTATTTCACACATTTCTCCAAAAAGATACTTAAAGTGCTTTACATTTCGGAAATCACAGCAACAGCTACGCAGAGAGCGTAAGAGTAGAATGTTGGTAATGGAAGAAAAAGCATGATTTTGTGATGTGTAAGATGGCTATTAGTGTTACGGGGAATTATCAAAGCCAGAGTAAACTTGTCTCTAGTTTCAATTTAATAATGTCCAGTAAAGTGCTATATCTCATTGCACATGGCAGGCTTCCATAATCGTGTGATTCAAACATGAAACCTCAGGCCCCAGGGGAAGAAAGAAAGATTCTTTGTGCTGTTATTAGATTTCAATTTGCAAAATTCTGCCATGGTACCTGGGATCCTGGGACCCTGGCTGTGCATGACTTTATATGTTAACATGCCTAAATTGACACGTATGCTGTTTTATATAGAGCACGGTGACCATGGAATAGAGTTCAGAAATAAAGATACAATGGTTTGTCAGTAATTTGGACGTATTCTTCTGTAGCAGCTACCCAATGGCTGTGTACTTGGAAATTCTATATACTGTATTGATGCAATAGGTAGGCAAGTCTTAAACATTCAGAAGCATGGTCTGAAATACTACTATGTCCTTCAGCTGGGCCCCACCATAAATAATTCTGTCTATTTAGTGTTAAGCCTGTTTTGTGCCTGGAAAAAAAGAGTATATCTGTGCACTATTTGCATAGTGAAAATTATTATTATTATTATTATTATTGCCATTTATATAGCGCCAACAGATTCCGTAGCGCTTTACAATATTATGAGAGGGGGGTTTAACTATAAATAGGACAATTACAAGACAACTTACAGGAACGATAGGATGAAGAGGGCCCTCCTTAAATGAGCTTACATTTTATAGGAGGTTATAATAACAGATAAAATTAACTCTGGTACCCAAATGGCAGTTCTCACATTGACCTGCGTGGAAACATTTCTATTCAATTACAAGAATTATGCTTATCTCCTACAATCTGATTTTGAACTATATTTTTAATTAGTCCTACTTGAGTTAACCTATATGATGCGAGGCTATGGAGATAAAAAATAGCCTTACAGTACACATCATGACATGTTTATGTATTACAGAATTACAACACGTGAAAAGATCCCATGTGATATCCTAGTGATAAAAGATTTATAACTTATTCCTCAACTGTTCTGTTTGGATGTCATAGTTTATTTAATCAGAAATTGTAGAGAGATCTATAAGTACAAGAGCTGAATAGTCTCCACTAGACTCTCTCAACCTAGAGACTAAAGAATCATATCACATATGATCCAGGGCTGTTCCTATGCTGTACAGAATCTTGACTGCAATGAGTATGGAATTTAGTGTGAGTTGAGCGCCTTCCAATTGCATTGTAACTACTTTCTCAATTTCCATTAATAGCAAGGGACAGTTTCAGACATGCTCGCAATTTGCCATGTAGCCAGTATCTAATGATGGCTTCTTAGAAGAGATCTTACAATAGCTTCCAACAGATGCGCCTACTAAAAAACCATTAATATCCTGATATATCATTATACATTGATACATTACCTAAATTGATGCTTCACAAAGCTTTAAATTGACTCTGTGGTAAACATAGGTTTTGACATAACAGGGGAAGTTAGCAGAAAGGAACATCGAATACATGAAGTATTTAAGACTCACTAAGCCATTCAGTACACAGAATGAAACAGAGCGTCCTTAGATTACAATGAAATCCATGTTTCAGCATTACTGTTCTCTGGCAATGATAAATTAACCATTATTCCTTTGTGAAGGTCAGCACCTTGCTGGTCCACGGCTATTCTAGAGTCCATCGGATCTCATTACCATCAGATTCATTAATGATTCTTTACCCATTGTGATTTCTAGATGTGTTTGAACAATGGAAACAGAAGAAATGTAGACATATGTGTAAATATCTGTAACAACTGTGCAATGATTCTTCACAATTCCTAACAAACAGTACATTGTGGTATCCATACAACAGCACAAACTCAATCGTTTGTTACTATGTAAACATAGATCTACCGTTAGAAACTGGAAATTGTGAAAACTTTAGAAGAATCCTGATAGAACAGGTAGCATTTGATTTGACATTTCTTTCAGTTATGCTATTCCACAGTTACCACTTTAGGGAATAATTTCCCCCCCAAAAAATTATTCAGCTTAACAAAACCAATACCATGCATACACTGGCATCAAAATCACCATTATGATACATTTACAACAAAAAATAGCTCTATACCAAATAGGTTGTATCCTTTCATGAACACTATACATTACAGTGGAGGGTTTTGGGACATCTTGTATCACTTCCTGAATTGGGAATGACTACTATTTTATCCCTTTATACTATTTCAGGTAAATTAACTGACACCTGTAGATAACATTTAGGTAACTAGGCCACTATTCTGTAAAATAACATTCCCATATTTCTACAACATTTGAAAAGACTAGGCAATCTTCTGCACTCCAGATTTTGTGAACTACATCTCCCCTGATGTGTTGCTAGAATTAAGGCTGTAAGAACATTTTGGGTTCCTAAGGTTGCTTCACCCTAGCCTAGACACTGTCTTTTTTTTTTAAATTCAAAAATACCAAATCTTCTGAAGTTGTAATTCAATGGTGCATTTTGGGTCAATGTTTGGACATTGAAAATATTACTAACTTGCAATTAAATGTCATCATTCCTTTTATCATTACACAGTTGCATACTAATATAGCCTGGAAAAAAAGTCTCAAATTCATCTCATTAATCTTTTCACACATCACTGTTTCTGTTGTTGATCCAGATGAAGGTGAAAAATAAATCTGACACAAATTCCATTGCAATATTATTAAACTGTTTTTAATTACTTTTTTAAAGGTCACAATACGTACATGTTGTTACAACAGCATCACTGTGAGCGTAAAATCTGGAACCACTGAGTAACCCTAAAGAAGGCTATAAAAGCCACTCTCATTTGTTGTAGAGCAGAGGTGCCCAAAAGGTAGATCCCCAGATGTTGTAGAACTACAACTCCCATGATGCTTTGCAGGCCTTTAGAATGACAAAGCATTATGGAAGCTGTAGTTTAAAAACATCTGGGGATCTATCTTTTCGACACCCCTGTAGTAGAGCATGCAGGCAAGCATTCATTAAGTCCATATAACCAGAATCACCCATGCAAAAGGCAATGCAAGTATCTCAACTTTTAGCAGAAATTCAATACTGCTCAGCAAACATTGGATAGGACATTTATATGCTAATCCACATTCTAATGTTTTTGAACACAAAACTAAACTGCTTGTCCATGTCTCCATTTATTTATATTAATTTGCAGTTTTATTATTGGCTATTTTAATTAAGGATGATATTCTTTATTATTAAAAAGCTCTTTGTATACATATACCTAAGTCACCTACTACATTTCACTGTAAAGAAATAATAAAACATGCTATACAGCAAGATTTTGCTTTTCCCATTGCCTGTTGCGCATTCATAAACAGGACACAAAAGTATAGTGAGAAGGGAAACCAGACACAGCTTTTATTGAAATCATTTGTTAAAATAACAATTTCCAAAACCAGCCTGCAAAACCTTTGAAGAACGTCAGGAGTCAAAGAGTCCATAACCACACAGCAATCCTCACTTGCAGACTGTGGCTCCCCAAGTCCTTAGTGGTCAAATTATTATCCATTATTTAACTGTACTAGTCAGGAAACCCCACTCCATCTAACAATAAAAAACAAACAAACAATACACAATGAAAGATACAGTGACAACAAGCCTGGCATCATTCATTTTATTGAGAGCAGGCAGAACAGTGAGGCTGACTCATTTGTCCTAGCCAATCCACTGTTCCTCACCCCAACAGCCTTATATAACCAATCATCCTAGATACAAAGTAACCCTACATGGGACATCCCTATCACCCATACTGGCCAGCAGTCATGATCCCCCTTCCACATTTTGTCCAGATACATTTCTCTCCTTTTTTCTCCTCAAACAGTGAGAACTGACACATACTTTATGATAAACACAAGACATTAAGTATAGATTTCTCCACTTTCCCTAATGGTGTGATTTAGACCACGAGCAACACAGAGTGTTAAACTAATTACAATAAATTAACAAAAATTCCTACCTGTTCCCTTCACAATATGAGGCATATACAGTACTTGTTAAAGGAACTAATGAGGTTAAGCTGAAAAGGCTTTTGTTTTTAATGTTCCCTTCAAAAACTCTGCGTGTTGCTTTTGATATAAAATAAAGTGATTGATTTTAAGAAGTACCAGGAAGTGCAGTTTGTACTTTTAAAAAGTCGCTTAGGATTCAAAAGAATGAATATATGAGACAGATAACATCCCAAGTCATTGGAATACAGTATATTGTACCAAATAAACATATATTTTTATAATATTTTCATTACGTTTTGCATTAATTTCGGATCTTATCATATAACACTGCATTTGCGTGTGTTTGGAGTTCGGAATAATGTCATGAAATAACATTAAATATATGTCATGAACATACCTTCCAAATGTCCCTATTTAGAAGGGACAGTCCCTATGTTTGGCCCAAATCCCTCTGTCCCTCTTGTTTTATCATAATTTGCCTCTTTTGTAGGTGCTCAGTATTCTTGGTATGTCTAAATCTGTACTAGAGTTTCACAGCAATAATATTCACAGGAATGTGTCGTTTACACTGAAATAAATATGTATGGGAGTAAGTCTATATAAATAACATTGATCTTGATGTAAATTAAATTTTTTGTTGCTCAAATTGTTTTTATTAAGTCATCTTAAAATTTTCAGAGCACTCACACCCCACACCTCCAATCACAACTCTAAATTGAAAGTGCCCCTTTTTTCCATTTGAAATACTGTTAGGTATGCATGAGTGAGTGTGATGAATTATAAAAGGGTACAAACAAAAGTTAACAGTTGCACAAGTCTTATTGTTCAAGGTCATTGTATCCAGGTAAACCATTACCATGCCTCCCAACCATCCTGATTTCAGTGGGACAGTTTCACTTTTTGAGTCCGGTCCTGCCATACCACCTTAGTGTCTCACTTTTGGGGACAACAGGGAACTGTCCCCAACAATCATAGCATGAGCGCATCTTAAGACTATGTTAAGGGCACTAGGACTCTGCAGGGAGTACTATATCAGGGGTAAGCCTTGAGTGTGCCAGCTAAAATGAGTCACACAAGGCTAACCTTCCATTAACATTGGCTGGCCCATCCTCTATATTGGCATATCCACCCCTTCACGATTCTCAGGACACTGGTTTTGGAAAGTATGAATTACAACCCTACAACTGTCTACTGCATGTTTCTGTAGATTACCAAACCAGCCATATATTTCAGCATTAGCTATCCCATACTACTAATAGATTAATGTGTGACTAAAACCCATGGGAGTATATATGGATGTGCTTATTCGGTCTATAGTATGTGTCAGAAGTTAAGGCTGCATTAAGAGCAGTAGGAGACTTATCATGGAAAAATGGAGATTCCCCACCATAAGACCAGCTTGGAAAACAATTCGATAATGGAGTATAAAACAAGAAATGTTTAGAATACATGTGGTTTTCTGATTTGGAAAGTGAGTAAGTATATGTGTGTGCAGCTGATACAAAGATGCCTACATAAGTTTTTTTTTTGTGTGTATGATACTTGTAGGAAGATAGTTGGAACATTTGTCTAAAGTCATTGTGCTAAAGGTTGGTAGTAGGTAGTTGTGTTTGTAATGTTGTTTGTCCATCAGGAAGCATGTTAGACAGAAAAGTGAACCATTAGGCACCACCAGTTATGAAGTGGTCCTCTCTCTCTGTACTGGATTGAAGGATGGTAAAGATGACACTTCAGATACCTAAGACAGAGCAGAAATGTTGCCTATTATCTTTACCTCATTTGTTTTGCAGTTCGTCATTTTGTTATTGTATCTCATTAACGTTAGTGCCTTTGCTTCTACACAAGCTAAAACAAGAAAACAACTGTTCTTGACTTAAGCAAATCTCTACCACTTTGATACATCACCAAGGCAACAATAAGAAAAATATAGATAGAACTGATGCTTTAGACTGTTTTGTTGCTGCAGTGACCTATGCTTGAGACAAAACAGCAATTTCCAAATTACCTAATCCACTGGTGGGCATGAGATTTATTGTAAAGTACTTTGCTTGGGCAATCAATCTGTATCTATGTGCTTTTACTGATCGTATGTACTTCTTTGAGGGACTGTATGACATTTTACATATCTTAAAGCATGGGCACAGTCAAGTTTATCTACTTGTCTATGTCTGAAAATAAATACTAGAGGAGAATTATCTATACTATCATTTCATTGCTGTTTGTGGAAAAGGAAGTAAATTTCTCACACCTGTAGCACTTACAAACTTAAGAGTTAATAACAAGTTTTGAAAAGTAAGACATGTTAAACATACACACTCTGATGACTCACACATACAATGAGACGAAGCGTTACTTGATGTACCAATTTATTGGGAATTTTACAAACATGGCTTATTCCAAGCAAAAAGCCAAGATAAATGTGCATAAAAAAAAAAGTTAATTTCTCTGCATCGGAAAGACCAATGGAACTTTATTTATGAGCTTTCAATCTATTCTGTGTTTAAACCCATGGATGTTGGCACTAACATTTAGTAATACCAGCACAGAAATGTTGAAGAACCAAGGCTGATATAAGTTAACAAGATTTTAACCTCACCTTTCTCTTATAAGGGCACATGGATGCAATCCACATTGTCAGCCAGGCTCTGTGTGCCTTATCTTATCTAACTTGAGGTTTGTGTTTCCTTCCAAATTGACCTTTTTTGCCCCTCTGGCATGAAAAAACTCAACAAAAACTATATTAATCCCATATTTTACTTATGAAAAGGCAATGTCACTATTGACCGTGACTACTAAGTAAACTCTGTAGAAGAAATGAGTGATATTTTATTCTTACTGGATGCTAACATTACTTATATGAATGCTTTGGTTATGTCATGAGTATTTAAGAAAATGAATTGTTGCATAGTACAACTTTACAAGGACAAATAATACATTTCTATTTATAAAAGGGAGAAAATACTAAATCAAAATATAAAATTTTGAGCAAAGCACAAAATGGTATAAGAGGTTTGTTGATCAAAGTGTACAGCAATACCTAACATATTGTAAAGTGTTATAGCAACAATATTAATAATTTATAGCAAAGTTTCATTTTGATTATTAATGTAATTATTGTCTTTATTCTGTGTCAACATTCAACCACTCTTCAGTGACACGGACAGTCGTACATAATACATTGGCTCCTAATATGTGGTAATTATTGTTTTTTAATATAGTTAAATTAATTTTGTTACCTTAATTTTTTACATAATTATTCTTTTCTCTTTTAGGTCATCTACCTAAAAGTCACTGCTCAATTATGGGAATTTACAAATACGCTTCTAAGTGAAATGCTTGATCATCTATGGCTACCTACAAGGGCACTCTACAAGGCAATAGCTTGATGTCTATGAAAAGAACGCATAGCCACTTATAAAGCATGAGCAGACAATGGAAAAGAAATGATTGCCAATTAGTTTCTGGAACAGAAAAACTAGCTTTTTGTATGGTTGTTTGTTTGGTAAATTCACGCAATGTTTCCGTGAAGTGACCATTTGGCCGTGAATAACTGATAACACAAAGGAAGTGAAAACTATAGAATTTTCTCCACTTTCAATATTCAAGAGTTGAACAATGGTGTGGGAAATGTCCCTCAGACTAAACTTGTTGCTTGGGCTAGCCACTGCTGCACTCGTACACAGTACACAGAAAAAAGTAGACTGTCCTCAGTTATGTGCATGTGAAATCAGGCCCTGGTTTACACCAAGATCCATTTATATTGAGGCTCTTACGGTGGACTGCAATGCGTTAGAGCTTTATGACATCCCCGCAAAGTTACCTGTAAATACACAAGTCTTACTTTTACAATCCAACAACATTGAAGAAATAAAGAACACAGACAACTTCCCTGTAAATCTCACTGGACTGGATTTATCACAAAATAATTTATCCACAATGGTCAATGTCAATTTCACCAATGCACATCAGATACTTTCATTATACATGGAAGAAAATAAGATTGTTGAATTGACAGACGAATGTTTTTTTGGACTGAAAAATTTGCAAGAACTATATATTAATCATAATTTGATATCTACAATTTCACCAAAAGCTTTTGCAGGGGTGGGCAATCTTCTCAGGCTTCATCTTAATTCAAATGAACTGGAAGTGATCAATAACAAATGGTTTGACTTTATGCCATATTTGGAGATCCTCATGATTGGGGAAAATCCGATAATGAAAATTGAAGATTGGAACTTTAGGCCACTTATCAATCTGCGCAGCCTAGTTTTAGCAGGGATAAATATTACACAAATACCTGATAATGCTTTTGAAGGCCTTGAAAATTTAGAAAGCCTTTCTTTTTATGACAACAGATTAATTGAAGTTCCCGCTGTTGCTCTTCAGAAGGTTCTGAACCTCAAATTTTTGGATCTTAATAAAAATCCTATTAGGCTTATACAAAGAGGGGATTTTAGCAATATGTTACACTTGAAAGAGCTGGGAATTAATAACATGCCTGAACTAGTTTCAATAGATAGTCTTGCTATTGAAAATCTGCCAGATCTAAGAAAAATAGAAGCCACAAATAACCCTAAGCTGGCATACATTCATCCCAATGCATTCTATAGACTTCCCAAACTGGAGACCCTCATGCTCAACAGCAACTCTCTGAATGCTCTGTATCGGAGTACAGTTGACTCTTTGCCTAACCTTAAGGAAATAAGCATTCACAGCAACCCCATCAGGTGTGACTGTGTTATTCGCTGGATCAATATGAATAAAACCAATATTCGCTTTATGGAACCTGATTCATTGTTTTGTGTTGATCCGCCTGAACTTCAAGGACAGAATGTCCGGCAAATTCACTTTAGGGAAATGATGGAGATATGTCTTCCATTGATTGCACCACAGAGTTTTCCATCTGATATGGATTTAAAAACGGGCAATTCAGTCTCATTGCACTGCAGGGCAACAGCAGAACCAGAACCAGAAATCTACTGGATCACACCATCAGGTATCAAACTTCTACCCAACCTTGTCTCTAGTATTTATGATATCCACTCTGAAGGAACCTTGGAAATTAAACATATAACTGTTTCACAAGCTGGACTTTATACTTGTGTGGCAAAGAACTTGGTTGGCGCTGATTTGAAAACTATTATGCTCACTGTGGATGGATCCTTTCCTGGGGATGTCAACGGATCAATGGAAATAAATATCAAAGAAGTACAAAGTAACTCTGTCATGCTTTCCTGGCAAACAGAATCAAAGATCCTCAAATCCAGTGTGCGATGGACAACTTTCCTGAACACTGAATTTAGCAGAATAGCCCACATCGTTCGGATGCCATCGGATATCAAACAATACAACTTCACACGTCTCAGTCCATCAACAGAATACAAAATTTGTATAGATGCACCTAACATCTTCCAACACATAGAAAAGCAATGTATTAATGTCACCACAAAAGGGATTGAAAAAATGTTGAAGCAAAATGAAAATATCAATACAACAGCTTTGATTATAATTCTTGGGGGCCTTTTTGGAATTATCTCTGTGGCCTTCTTTTTCAACTACACATCTTTATACTTGAGACGTGATTTAGACAGAAAGTGTACTGGGAATAGTATACAGACACCAGCATTTGCTTACAGTGACCTGTATCTATTAAGCCTTTGGAATTCAGACAAAGAAAGCACAGTTCTTGAAGTGAAATCCACTGTTCTTAAAGTACCAACTAACATACCGTAAAAACATCATGCTGACAGAGCTTAATTTATGGAATACAAACAAGCACAATATTCTAGTTGTGCTCCTTTAGCAGGAAGACTGGCAGAAAAATTTTGTTTTTTGTTTTTTTAACTGTGACATTGCTGTCCTAAAAGATAACTCTACATGGGATTGGTTTAAAAGTAGAGCTAACTGGCTATATGTAGTAATAATACCAAACATGGAGAGAATAATACGAGAGGAAAAATGTATAAAGAGAAAAAAAAACTTCTTTTGTTGACTACAGTATGAAGATATAGCATTGTTTTATGCATTTGTTTTGTTTTTTTGTTTCTTTTTTTAAAAAATAATACAGTAGATGAACTGAGCAGCAATACCTCCTCCTGTGACGTATTACACATTTTAGCCAAGAGTTTTTGAAGTGATGAGATAAACTAGATTTGACATATGATGTTATAAAATTGACATTTCTGTAGAGTAGTAGAGCCAATAAATATGTAAATCTTTTTTTATGCAGAAAAATACATTTTTGATTAAAATAAAAATTTACTTGTTCAAAGGCTGTTTTTTTGATGAGAAACGGACATACAAAACACTTGTTAAAATAATGGAAAGATAATATGATAATTACATAAAGAAAATGCATTTATCCTTAATTGTTTTAGCATTTAGAAATAAGTCAAATTATTGAAGTCAAACCAATAAAGAAGATATTTGAGATACATGCAGACTAGAATCACAAGGGCATGCAGACTAGAATCACAAGGAAGTCCAGATATGTCTGCTGGTATTTGCAAGATACACACTTATTAACCTCTGAAAGACCAATCATTTAGTTTGACATCAATACAATATTACCTTATGTCAGTTTGCAATGTCCTGCTTGTCTTGCACCAGAAGCTCCATACACCACTCATGTTACTAAATGACTTGGGTATTCCATTTTAGAATAGGATATGTAAAGACCAGTCAGTAATAACAGCATAAATTACATTGGTCCTTAAATGAATAATACAGTAAGGGCTATTCAATAAACACCAATTTGTAGGTGTTTAAAGGCAGATTATACAAAAGTGTGTATCTGAATGTGTGCACCTATTAATGTGTGTATAAATGTGTGGGGATGTATGTGTGTGGGTGTCTCTGAGCATGTATCTTTGTACCTTGGAATGTTTCTGCCTGCACTTGTGCTTGTGTGTGAGTGTGTGAGAGGTTTAACCCTTTAAAGTTTGAGTGGATGTGTGTATATGTGTGGTATTTTCCCTTCAAATACTAGAGTTTGCAAAATACTGTGTTTTTGTATAGTTCTGAAAATTCCAAGTTATAACAAATGTGCCCACAAAAAATAATTGCTGTATTTTAACATGAACTGGTTTGTTAAAGCTCTATCCAAAACATTGTCATTTTTTTTTTAAAGGCCAAAGAAGTTAATATGGTACATTTTCCGTTCAAACATTCAGATTAAAATATCAAGATATGTACACCACATGCACTACACTTATTGGTAGTCCAATATGTGTGGTGTATACTGACCATCAAAATAAAATGAAGTTATGTATGTGTTGTTTTATACTGAAACCGAATTGATTGAAATTGTCTTTATTAGGTTCTTACATATTTTTTTCATAAATAAATGTAAATTGAATTAACAAATAAATTCATATAAATGCGATTCTATAATATGTGGAAATTTTGCTGTTCACTTTTACCAGGTATGAACCAAAACCAACATGTTAAAAATGAGAATAGCAGGTAAAAATGACAATAGCAATCATGCAGTAAACATTTAAGCCAGAGGCTATGCCAGTAATTGTTACCTCTTAGATAGGTAAAATGCTGGGGAACAATAACGGCTTTCCATACTTTTGAAATTCTTGTCCAAAATAAATCACAGTAAATCCCATTGCTAATTCATTATCATAAATTATGTTTTTTAAAAGGGTCAGTGAAGTTTGCAACATCGTACAACATAACATTATTAGAAGCAAATTAACATTCGCAAAACATTACATTAAGTAAAATATCATATTCATAGCTGTACTTCGACAAACAATAATTGAGAGACCTGCTTTTGCGACTCTATAATATATTAAAATGATTTAATATAATAACAATGATACACTGAAAATTAACACATATGCTACAAAATACCCAACAGAGGGATGGGTTATCTTACCAGGGATAAACATAATGATTAGATGTTCTCCCGCTGACCAATTATGTGTAAAATGCTGTTTAGTTACCAGAGATGTATATATTATAGTAAAAGCCCTTAATTGGTTAAAATTGACATTTACTCTGTAAATATTTCATAAAACCATGATACAATGTAGCATCGAGATGCAGCTTGGATGCAGGAAAAATCTCCTTTATTTGAGTCTTGTAATTCTATGTGCAATGTTTAGTTTCTGTAGAATGTTCTTTAACCCATTTTGTGACAGAGCAGTTTATTCTTTCTCTGTATAGACGAGGCCATGACAATTTTGACCATATTGTCATATTTTAATTCTTGTTATATTCCTATACAAAGTGTTTAAAGACAAAAAAAAAGAAAGGAAATATAGATTTAAAGGTAAAACATATAACTCATTACTTAGTATTAATTAAAAAAGAAAAGAAAATGAAAAAATATTTTCCATAGATTTGCAACACATTTGCACCATAATTTATACACAACTTGTGTGGACAAACCATCATAAGGAAAGGTACTTAATTTATTTATTCTGTTTTTCAAAACACCTCATTCCATTTGTTATGTAGCAGTATAAATATAGCATGTTGCTATATATATATATAAAACATATCTATGGTAGGCAAATAATATTTTCAGGTAGCATAGTTTTGGCTTTGCAAATATACACCCTGTTGCAAATTATTATGCAAATTATATTTTTCTCATTTACCTAAATAATAGATGTAAATAACAGTCAGCATAATTTTCATGTTATCAACTATTAAGAGTACAATTCAAATTTTACTGAACAAACCTCCTAATGATAACAGTATTTTTTTAAACATAAAAAACTTACAATGCACTGTTCCAAATTATTTCGCACAGTAAGTTTCAAAACATTTTATAGGTTGTAAAGAACTGAAAATTGTCATTTGTTGTGTTTGCAGCATATTTACTGAAATCAAAAGCTATTTCAATCAAACATAGAACAACATTTGAATTTTTTAAACATTTTAACAGGTCACGTTACATTTTAACATAGGACCCCTTATTTGATAGCAGCTTCACAAGTCTTGCATCCATTGAACTTGTGAGTTTTTGGACAGTTTCAGCTTGAACTTCTTTGCAAGATGTCAGAATAGCCTCCCAGAGCTGCTGTTTGAATGTAAATTGCCTCCCACCCTCATAGATCTTTTGCTTGAGGATGCTCCAAAGGTTCTCAATAGGATTGAGGTCAGGGAGGATGGAGGCCACACCATTACTTTCTCTCCTTTTATCCCCATAGCAGCCATTGATGCAGCGGTATTCTTTGCAGCATGAGATGGTGCATTATCATGCATGAAGATGATTTTATTATGGAAAGCATAGTTTTTCCTTCTGTACCAGGGAAGAAAGTGGTCAGTCAGAAACTCCACATACTTTGCAGATGTCATCTTTACACCTCTGAGGACCCTAAAGGGGTAGACCAGCTCTCTTCCCATGACTCTGGCCTCCACCACCGCCTTGCTGACGTCGCAGTCTTGTTGAAACAGGGTGGCCATCCACCAACCATCCACTACTTCATCCATCTGGACCATCCAGAGTTGCATGGCACTTATCAGTGAACAGGACTGTTTGAAAATTAGTCTTCATGTATTTTTCTGCCCAATACAGCCATTTCTGCTTGTGAGCATTGGTTAGTGGTTTATGCACAGTTGCAAGACTCTGGAGGACTCTACACCTTGATGTCCGTGGGACTCCAGAGGCACCAGCACTTCAAATATCTGTTTGCTGCTATGTAATGGTATTTTAGCAGGTGCTCTCTTGATTTGATGCATGGATCTTGCATAAATCTTCCTCAATGTGCCTTTATCTGCATGAACCCGTCTGTACTCTGAATCAGCCACAAATCTCTTAATAGTGCGATGATCACGTTTAAGTTTTCATGAAATATCTAATGTTTTCATACCTCGTCCAAAGCATTGAACTATTTCACTCTTTTCGGCAGCAGAGAGATCCTTTTTCTTCCCCATATTGCATGAAAATGGTGTTCTGTTTAATAATGTGAAACACCCTCCTCTAGTAGTTTTTCCTTAAATTGGGCTCACCTGGCAATCTAATTATCACAGGTGTCCGAGATTGTTTTCAGTGATCAAAAGAGCCCTGAGACACAATGCCATCCCTGAGTTAAACTGAAAAACTAAATATTTAATCTTTGTGACACTTAAATAGAATTTGCATAATAACTTGGAACAGGGTGTAGTTATTTTAGCTTTAAAACAGCATTTGCCTAGGTAAAGTTGCCTCTGCTCCTCAATCGCCTCTCAGGCAACCTAGGACATAGATTCTTCTAGTATATAGGTGCCTGGGCATACCTGATAAAGTGGCCATTGCTAACCAAAATGCACCAGGGAAAGTGGCCCCTGCTAGTCAATAGGAGTCCTGGCACCCATGTAAAGTGTTCTTTGCTAACCAATAGGCACAAAGGAAAGTGGCTCCTGCTATCCATAGGTGCCCAGGACCAAAAGAAAGTGTAATTCACTTGCTAAAAGGGTCACAAGCATCCCCAACAAGTGCCTCCCGCTCACCAAAATTAGCCCAAGCACCTTGAGAGAGTGACTCTTACTAGTCAGTAGATACCCAGGCACTCCTGGAAAATAGCCATTTTTGTTTTGCCTGAATACTAGTTAGAAAAAAGGGTTTTGTCTTGGCAGAATCTGTTTTAAAGGTCAAATACCTGATGCCTAGAAAATACAATAGTTATTTGCCTGAAATTACTATATTCCTCCCACTTATATAAAATAATATAGTCTCTCTCTCTCTCTCTTTTTAAATACCTAACCTAGGCAAAAATAATGGGGGTTTAGTAACAGTATATGATAATACATTGCCTAAGCCTGCCACAATACCCGTGTACACCGTTATCTTTGACCAGGTTAGTTGTATTTAAAAAAAAACAATTACATTATGTGAGTTTTGAAATTGCAGTTTAGTGAATGAGTGAGTGCGGTGGATAATGTTTGTTGTATAACTTGGCCTCAACAAAACTCTTATAACGTATGCAGGTTTAGGTGAGTGCATCCCTCTAGGTTTCAGAGCATGAACATCTCCTTCAGTGGTTTAAATAATAGTCTACAAAACTATACAGAAGCAGCAGGGACAAACTCTGACACCTGCTTGAGAGCAAGCTTATGGTGATGTCAGGTTCTCCATGGCAGATCAAACATCACTCATGGTTGGATGATGATCTCTTACATAATTCTGGGGACCATCATCCATAGATATTGCTTGCTAGTGTTGCTAAAATCAACCACAATTACCCTCTTCCTGCATGATCTCTTCCCAGGCAATAAGAGACGATTTGCAGTAGTAGTTTTAGGGAATACCTTCCCTACCGTTAGAGAGATTCTGACCATGGTATGTGCTTGGTGGCTCCACACAACATGAAAGTATCAACCACCTGAGAGTTATAGGGATAGCGCACTTCACCAACCATGTAACATTATATGGCAATTATTAATTATTCAATTAAAGAAGTGGAAGCATGCTTACTAAAAAGAAAGAACATTTTAATTCATAGGCTACATGAGACCTAATTTTTCTGTATACATCTTGGTACACAAATAGTAGCAAATGATATTAAAACTTCACATACCAAAAAATAAATATTTTAAAAAAAACAAATCTTTGGATTATTTTTTGCTAAACATGATAAGTGTAATGGGTTAATATTGAATTTAAATGCATCTATTTTTAGGTGTGCATTTCAAGTGAGCATTTCAAGTTTTCATATGCTGCATAGAAATATGACATATTGCAATTACATTACTTTTTGTATATTGAACTAATAAGAAACATCCCATGTTCTTATCACAAAGTTTAAACATGTAATAAAAATATTATTCTAATGCAATTATTCTAATGTGGAACACCCTCCTCTAGTAGTTTTTCCTTAAATTGGGCTCACCTGGCAATCTAATTATCACAGGTGTCCAATATTGTTTTCAGTGATCAAAAGAGCCCTGAGACACAATGCCATCCATGAGTTAAACTGAAAAACAAAATATTTAATCTTTAATACAGCTATTACAATTTCTGATATTCACAATTTACAATCATGCAGAAGAGATGTTAAACAACTTCTAAATAATTTAATATAAGTTAAAAGCAATGATCTGTATGAATGGTATGAATGTTAACAAAACAATTTCAGAGAAAAAGCACTCAGCACACTATAGCTATTTTTAAAATAATCATTAAGAAAGACAGATAAATAGTAAGAAAACTCATTTTCTTCCAAGCCCTCAGTAAGAAGAATAAAACTATTACTTAATGTTTAAAACATTTATATTTTAAACATGAACATTCTATATTTTATAAT